CCCGACTCTTGCGAATGGCGTCACGGGTGATGTGGCACCTGTGGGTCACCAAGCGGGGGTTCCCCGAGTCTCCCATCGCACAGGGGTCTCCTTCACCACGGGGGTCTCATTCACCCCCCTCCACAAGGGGTCCCATTTCTCTCGATGCCAGACAAAACGTTAGGAGAGAGACAGCGGCGCATTCGTGGCGAAACCTCCGCACGCCTTCCGCCAATCTCGATGCACCACGTGTTACATCGTCTCGCTCCGTGAGCTCTGAGACGTGAAGCTGTCGCTTGAACAATGCCCACTCACCTGCTGAGAACAATGCCCACTCACCTGCTGAGAACAATGCGATCTTCTTGTTTCGCACGGTCGATCGATGTTCGACGCAGAGGAACGACTCCAATTTCACCTCCAGGTGGTCAAGCCCAGCCAGCGGAGTCGTTGCGTCGTCGCTGCGACGTCTCCTTCGTATTTGTGGATCGGACATTGCGTCGTTGGACGCCGTGCGGTCTGTTCTGCATGCCCACAGTCGCACCGCTACTGGAGGACTTTATTTTAAATGTGTGCATCGGTGTATCCGCATCTGCTGCCACGGGTTGTGCAGCGGATGCGGTTTAGCGTGGACCGTGAGCTTCGCGGAAATTCAAAACCCGGGGATCTTCTGCGTTGGGTGTTTCACAATGTGACGGAGGGTCATTATAAAGCAGCGGGGTGTCTCTAAACGTATACTCCTGTGCAAGGCAGAGCACGTTGGCTTGTTATTCACTTATGGGTTCATTTCCACGGTGGGTTTTCTCGTTCATTCGCATTGGGGGGGGGTCGCGTCTTCCGCAAGGAGATCTTAATACAAGGTGGGGAGAGAGAGAGAGGGGTGCGGTTGTCGTTTCTGGAAGGGGAGTCAGTCCCCCTTAAATTTCGATTTAAAGCTTTCGTGACTGCAGGGATTCATCTTCTTGGTTCTTTCGGTAAAGTCACGTAGAAGGGATGTAATAAAATAATAAAAATAAAATATTATAAAATAATTCTCACGACGTTTCGGCCACAACGCAAGCAGCCGTCCTCTGTCGGGGAGACAGCGTCTGAATGAATTCAGACGCTGTCTCCCTGACAGACCTGGTCTTCGACTGAGGACGGCTGCTTGCGTTGTGGCCGAAACGTCGTGAGAATTATTTTATTATGTTTTATTTGTATTATTTTATTACTTCCCTTCTACGTGACTTTACCGAAAGAACATCAGTTCTAGATTTGAAGATTTCGTGACTGCAAGTATTCATGTTCTTAGTTTTTTTCGGTAAAGTCACGTAGGTAAAAAATCTAAATTAATAAAAGTAAAATAAAAATGAAATAAAAATCACGACGTTTCGGAGGCAACACAAGCTTCCGTCTTCAGGTGGAACCGTCACAGCACACTTGCTGTAATCAAGTAAGCGTGCTGTGACGGTTCCACCTGAAGACGGAAGCATGTGTTGCCTCCGAAACGTCGTGATTTTTATTTTATTTTTACTTAACTTTTATTCATTTTTATTTTTTTACACACGTGACTTTACCGAAAAAACCTAAGAATAAGAAGATCAGCCCCCCTTGTTCAGCGAGGGGGGGTCTCATCCGCGCGGGGTTCAGCGACGCTAGGGGTCGCTCTCCCGCCGCCGAGTGCTCACCGGGAAGAGATTCTGACCTCCCCGCCCGCCACGCCCGCCCCTTCGAGGAGGGGTCCCTGGTTCAGAGTGAACCTCGTGCGAATGTGTCACAGGATGGGCAGAGGCAGACGGACAAAGCGCGACACTAAACCCCTGCGTGTGTCTGTGTGGACGTTAACAATTGGTAACGTTGGCCCCACTCGCCATTGTTGAACGTTTCTGTTTCGTACAATTACAGCGATTGCGCCTCCAGGAATTCGGCTTCAGCTGTTTGTTTACAGCCACGCACCGATTCCATTCTCCTCGAAGCGCACAGCCAACTGTGTGTGCATCCGCCGGTGGACGAAGGTCTCTCCAAGCTGTGCGCGTTATTTGACCATACTTCACCACGCTGGTCGATACGGGTTGATGAAGGCGTGAGAAATTTCGATTTAAAGCTTTCGTGACTGCGTGGATTCATATTACAACAGTGTATTGACCTGTTACGAACCGCGTAGCCTCGCAACAGCCTATAACACCTGTATATGCATGGTTGTAGTCACCCAGCCAAGGACTATCCAGGTGCAAAACCCGCTTAGCTTGGTGATATCGTGTGCATTTCCTGGCCGTTTGGTCATGGCCTCATCAATATCTCTAATTAATTGGATTCGGGGATTAATTCCAGTGTGTGTAGAGCGATCCCTCTGCTCGGCATTTACACTCACCGGCTGCGCTCTCCAAATGGTATCTGGCAATCAAGTTGCGTGCTGCCTTGTCTATGGGGTATACTTGAACAATGGCAGTAACCCATGGAAGTCGGATTTAGTTTGAAATCGTCGCGTACAGCGGCCTGGCTGAACACACGGACTTCAACGCAAGCAAACATTTTATTTATACTCCGAGCCAGAAATACAAGTCGTCAATATGCAAACCGGTGTTGGGTACAACTTGCAATACCGTTGCGAAGGTATTGGTTATGAATCAAAAAGGCAAGTCGATCAGGCAATTCTCTGCATGTAAAAGCAATCAACATGAAACCAATGTCACAAGTAGCGGAGTGAATAAAGAATCGATACCGATGTCTGGTTGTCCTTAGTCGCAGTCGACCATCAGGCGACTTCTCTTGCTTATTTCAGGAGTCGTTGGCGCACAACTTACTAACATCTCGACCGATGTATACACATTTTAATTGATTCAATTTCCCGAACTCTCCCGTGAGAAAGAGACCTGCAACTTTTCCTCCCTCTCCCTCTCCACCTCGCTTCTGTGAGACAATGGAGGCGGCTAACAAAATTAATTGGACCGCCACAGTTTCGCCAGCATTGCCCCCTCCTCCTTTGGAGATAGAGGGTGGGTGGTTTTGCGTGCTGTGTGACCTCGTGTGTCCTGCACCGCGCCTGGCACGGCGCAGCTGATCGCCGTGACGAGCACGCGACCGAGCGCGGCACATTGTGAGCCAAACCTTCCCACAGGGTTCTCAAGTCAAGTTAGACTCATGGCTGTGGTGCCAAGCGCCTTAACAAGAGAACACACACTATATACTCAAACAACCATTCATAATTAAACATTGTACTCATCATTTGTTATCAGTATGAAAATACATTACGATTGAGACAATTCGTATTTAATCCCGCTTAATAGTAAATGTGTTTTTGTTGTATATATATGGGTATTTATACGACAACACACGCGAGTAGCATGCACACACGCACACACTATGTGTGTGCGTGTGTGCATGCTACATTCATACACACACACTCTGTCGTGTGTGTGTGCGTGTGTGCATGAATGCAATTTATTGGGAAAATGGTTTAGCCATGCTGTGGCGTTGGCAGCGGCGCATAAACACAAACAACACAACAACAGCAACTCAATAACCACTCATATTTTTATTTTCCTTTGAAGGCAGAGTTATTGGCGGATGTGTTTGACTTTTGTGAATATATTGGGGAGCGGTGGCGCAGTGGTTTGCACACCACGCTAATGCGCCTTGGCTGCTGGGCTTCCAGCATCAGCATATTTATTTATCCTGGAGAAATCCTATGAGCTATGAAGCTTATTTTTTTGTCCACATATGTCCGGTAGTTCCAACAAGATATGAATAATATCTCGGCTGACTGGGGTCACCGGGGTTCACAATGGGATGGGGAACGTCCCACGGGTTTTCTCCAAGACGGAGATGTTTCCATTCATCAGCTACCGCTGGGGTCGGCGTGCTGTGATTTACGCGCCGTATGTTTTTGACAGCGATGCCCCGATCGGTCTAAATGCATATCCCGATCCTTATTCTGACTGTGATTGGGTGACGTGTGCGTTTAGTGGATCATAGCCGCTTTAAGAAGAAGAACAATTCATCGAGTTTCAAACTAAATTGGTGGGAAAATATCCGAAGTATTACGTCTCTCATCCTCCTTTCGATGTGACAAGCAACAGTTTATTTGATTGTAAACTGCACTTTACTTGAATATACTAACAGCGAATTGGACAGTCGATCGATGTCAATCGGTAACTGAACCGGTCCTGTCCCACCTCTACGTTGACTCAGCCTCAAATGAGTAGACTACTTGGGAGTGGTGCTGGCCGACACCTCCCCTCGTGCGCGGTTCTGACCTTAATAGGCGCTCGCTAACATCGCTTACCACTGCAGTCTACAATCTATGGGGGGGGGGGGGGGGAGGTGGAATTTGAGTGTTCACGATTCAACAAAATCGTGACACTGCGTTGGCAGCGGTGCACAAAGCACAAATAACAAACGAAAGCCCCAGCACATTCGTCATTAACACTGCCCTAATCGTAATATATAATAGGCGACGTTTCGGGTAATGGCCCTTCTCCATAGCAGAAGCACATCTGCCTATTCGCACTTCCCTGAGCTCAGCCAGGGAGCGGAGAAGAGAGCGCAAAGCGAACGCTTCGCGTGCGCTGGGCCGCTCCTCCTCCAGTCACCCCTCCTCCCGCGAGCGCGTGTGTTGCGATGCTGGAGTTCATGCATGCCTTCCTCGGTCCACCTCCCTCCCTCCCTCCCCACCTCCTCCCTCCCTGCCTCCCTGCCTGCCTACCCCCCTCCAGCATCCCTCCTCCCTCCCTCCCTGCCTCCTTCCCCCCACCCATCCTCCTCCGCGGAGCGCACACGCAGTCGCGCGCGTCCACTGCCGAGCTGGGTGGTCGCTCCCTAATAATAGCTCATGTTTGCTGAGTAATTTGCTTCAACCCTCGCTCCCCCCAAAGCCTCCCTCCGGCCAATGGGAGCGAGGCGAGGGCGGTGGGGCTGGGAAGCTCAATGAAGCCCGAGGGCGGGCCGGGGGATCGGGGGGGGGGGGCTGTTGCGGGGTGGGGGGTTGGGGAGGGGGGAGGGAGCCCCTTTTCCAAATGAATCGCCCTGTGGATCACCCATTGAGCCGCGTTCGGCAGCAGCAGCAACAACAGCCTCAGCAGCAGCAGCGGCAACAACAGCCTCAGCAGCAGCAGCGGCAACAACAGCCTCAGCAGCAGCAGCAACAACAGCCTCAGCAGCAGCAGCGACAACAGCCTCAGCAGCAGCAGCGGAGGCAGCGAAGATGTGTACGAGGCGGATTTTGAGCGACTCCGAACTGCGGGGACTCTTATGCTAGCGTCGTGATACGTTCTCGGAGTCACCCGTGCGGACACGTAGACACACGTGCGGTGTCCACGCGTGTATTTGTCGTAGTTTTTTTTCTTATTCTTTCGAGTAGTATTCTTGTAAACTATAAGCGCCGGGTGTAGCACAGCCCCTCTGCGCGCGAAGCACGCGCGCGCGTAACGCAACGGGACTGTCGCGCCCACCCGGACCGGTCCATCGCCACCGCTCATGCCCTGCCGAGTCGCGGGTTGCGCTGGCTTCCTGCGCCTGCACGAGGCTCTTTGATGGGAATTAAAGTTCGGGAGCCGTGCGCCATCACCACCATCATCACCACTGCCGCGCACCCGACCCCGACATGGACACTCAGCGGCCGGCGGAGGCGGGCGGGCCGCGCCGGTACCAGGAGGCCCCCGGTGCGCCACCACCACCACCACCGCCGTCATCATCCTACAAGGTGCCTGGCGCCGTGTTGAAGTCGGCGCTCGCTACGGCTCCTCGGGTTGATGTTCGCGGAGAGGGGTAGGAGGACGGCGAGCTCGGCCGTTGAAGGGGACCCAGGGTTTGCTTCTGCGGGGTTTGCGTAAAAAAAGTTTCGGTGCGCGGTTCGGATGAGCCGAGCGCCGCGGTGGTGGTTTCCGGGGTGAGGGGTGTAGGTCTCGGGGTGAAGAGCTCGGGGCTTAGGGGTGAGGAGCCCCGTGGCTCAGGGGTCTGACCCGGGGAGGAGCGGTGGAGACTGCTGGGCATGAGGGGGTCCCAGCCCCGGGGTTCTCGGTTCCGGAGCCGCGCGCAAAACGTTGCCTGCATCGCTGTTCCGCGGAGAGGTTCGTGCTGAAAGTGAGAGAGTGTGTGAATGAGAGTGTGTGAATTAGTGTGTGCGAGACAGAGTGTGTGAATGAGAGTGTGAGTGTGTGAATGAGTGTGTGAATAAGAGAGAGAGCGTGTGAAAGAGAGTGTGAGAGTGCGAGAGAGAGTGTGTGAATGAGTGTGCGTGCAAAAGACAGAGTGTGTGAATGAGTGTGTGAGAGTGTGTGAATGAGAGTGTGAGAGTGTGTGAGTGAGTGAATGAGTGTGTGAGATTGTGTGAATGAGAGTGTGAGAGTGTGTGAATGAGTGTGCGTGCGAGAGAGAGTGTGTGAATGAGTGTGTCAGAGTGTGTGAATGAGAGTGTGAGAGTGTGTGAACGAGTGTGCGTGCGAGAGAGAGTGTGTGAATGAGTGTGTGAGAGTGTGTGAGAGTGTGTGAATGAGTGTGTGTGAATGAGAGTGTGTGAACGAGTGTGCGTGCGAGACAGAGTGTGTGAATGAGTGTATGAATGAGTGTGTGAGAGTGTGTGAATGAGAGTGTGTGAATGAGTGTGTGAATGAGAGTGTGTGAATGAGTGTGTGAGAGTGTGTGAATGAGAGTGTGAGAATGAGAGTGTGAACGGGTATGACAGTGAGCAAGAGTGTGTAAGAGTGAGCGTGCGATATCGTGATTTGTGGCAGAGTGCCTGCATACGTGTTTGTCCGTGCTTATCTGCGAGTCGGAGTTAACTACGTAGAATATGTATATATGTTAGTATTGAGCGAGTGAATGTGAGTGTGTGTAACTCTGTATGTGAATTAACAAGATGCTTGAACTCTCGTGTGAGTGTGTGAGAGATTGTATGGGGAGCGGTGGTTCAGTGATTAACGCGCTGCGCTACAAACCTCGCGACCGGATTCCATTCCCGTCGGATGATTATCTGAACCGGTACTGGGCCTCCCCTAGGTCGACTCAGTGTGAAATGAGTGCCTGGTGCGGTGTGTAAACATCGCCACCCACCTCCGCGTGTGCCGTTCCGGCCTTCACAGGTGCTCGCTAACAGCTCTTGCCCCAAAAGTCTGTCAAGGCTACACGGGGGATCTTCGTGTTGCTAAATGAACGTGGGAGTGTGGAGATGAATGAGTGAGCGCGCGTGTGATTGACAGTACAGTATCTGTATGTGTGTTCACGATTGTTTATTTTGATACATCAGTATTTCTCGCGTGCTCTGCGTGCCTTTACGTAAGAGATGATAGCTAACGACACTTGCTCCGACGAATCTGTGTGGCTATAGGGGTGTCTGTATACCTGTGTTTGAAAGAGTGTGAACGTGCTGCCGAATGAGTTAGCGTGCCGGTGTGAGAGTGAATGAGAGTGAATGTTGTTGGTGGATGTACGAGTGAGCGTGAATATGGGCAGCGGTGATGTATTGGTTGTGGCTCTGCGCTACGGATCCGGCTACCTGAGTTCGATTCCTCGGTGAGAGCTGCGAGTGATATCAGAACCCAGGTCCTGGGTCTCTCGTCGGTTGACTTAGCCTTAGATAAGCACATGATGCCGGTTGTAAATATTGGCACTGGGGAGATAAAGGCAGCCAGAGCGAGGTGTTGGCTTTATCCCGTGCGCCGTTCCGGACCTTAATAGGTGCTCTCTAACTGCACTTGCCCCAACAGCCCAATGTCGGCAGCACGGTGGAAGCTTTGCATTTTTCATTGTATCTGCAAATGTGTGTACGAGTGTGCAGATTGAATGTTGGGGATCTCGTAAGCGTGTGTTATTATTACACATGTCAAGATGTGTATACATTAGAACGCGCTTGTGTGTATGAATGCGCGTGCGCGTCGGTGTGACTGTTCCACGCACGTGCGTGCGATGGTGCGCGCGCGCGTGTGTGTGTGTCTGTGTGTGGGGATGTTATTGAACGAGTGTGCCTCTGGAAGAGCGCGTGTTGGTGAACGTTGCGGCCCTCGTAGGTTCTCGCTCACAGCACTTTCCCCAAGCAGTCTTGTGAGGCTGCGTGTCTGTGGAATGCGTCTTTGTCTTTGTCGGCGAATGAGTGCGCGTGTGAATGTCAGTTTCGCATCATTGTTATGTTGGCGTGTGTACATCTGAGTGTGAGAATGCAACTATGCAAACTCGTTACATGAATGAGTGTGTGTGATTGTGATTGTGCGTGTCTTTGAGCAGCAATGCTTGTTGTATGAGAACGTGTGTGCCTGTGTCTTCAGTACGAGTTTGTGTATTGCTGCGAGACGTGAGACGATATCCCCGCACTGGTGTGTGATTTGAGCACGTGTCTGTACGAGACAGCGCGCAGGTTGTCTGTGCATCTTTCAAATCACTCGATTGGGATTGCACACTTAGCAGCAGCAGTAGCAGCAGAAGTCATCGGCCTCTCTATTGTCAAACTAATGCCCCTATTGCCTGGCCAGGCGCTGGGTCACCTCACCCCGCGCACAGGGACAGCTGCCACCGGGGGTGCCCTTTGAAACACGTGTTGGGATGATGCCGATGTCGTGACGTGGGAATCGGTACGAAGCTCCGCATCGTGGACGAGGAGGAGGAGAAGGAGGGCGGCTTCATGAACACACAAATCGGTATCGCGATCGGTCCATTTGTCGGGCAGCACCAGTGACTAACAGCGCGCTCGTGTGCGTGTGTGCGTGCGTGTGCCTCTCGCTCTGCCGCTTCGCCAAACGCAGGGGGTCCCGGCTCGCTCCTGCACCCCAGCTCGCCTCCGGGAGCGCCTGGAGGCCGCCTCCTTCTCGCTGGGATGTAAACTCCAGCGCAACTGCGGCAAGGCTCTGTTCGTGGGCGTCCTCGCCTTCTGCGCCTTCGCGGTCGGGCTGCGCGCGGCGAGGATGGAGACGGACGTGGAGGCGCTCTGGGTTGAAGGTAACGCCAGCGGCGCCATTTGGAGAGAGAGCCTTGTGATGTGTGTGATGTGTGGATGCGTGGCTCTCCCTCCCCCCTACCACCTCCACCCCCCTCTCTCCACGACTCCTACCCCACCGGCTCAGCCCGGGCCAGTGGGCGCTCCGTGTGTGGTCCGCGTGCGTGTGGCTGGCGGGAGGGAGGGAGGGGGGATCAGGCGCTGGGGTTTGGAGCGAGGTGGGAGGGTGAGTGAGTGGGGGGAGAGTGTGGGGGGTGGGGAGGGTGGAGGACGCGCACAGGGGCAGAGAGAGAGGGAGGGAGGTTGGGGGGGTGCTGAGAGGAGAGACAAACAGAGAGAGCGGTAACACAAGCGCACACCACAAACTGTAAACACAGGGCTCGCACATAAACACCACGAGCCACAGACAAACAGCACGAGCGCACACCGTACGCGACACACTTGACACACACACACTTGACACACACACACTTGACACACACACACACTTGACACACACACACACTTGACACACACACACACTTGACACACACACACTTGACACACACACACGCCTGACACGTAACTACAACAATTATACACACGGAGCCAGCCAGACACGCCGCAGACTTTACACACAAATGTACAGAACTTTACAGGGGCCATGCACACCATCCACGCCACGAGAGACGCACACACACACACGCGCACGGACATCTACACACACGCACACCCGCACTGCACTACCACTGCACACACACACACGCACGCACGGACATCTACACACACGCACACCCGAACTGCACTACCACTGCACACACACACACGCACGCACGGACATCTACACACACGCATACCCGCTCTGCACTACCACTGCACACACACGCACTGCCCTACCACTGCACACACACGCACACCCGCTCTGCACTACCACTGCACATACACACACGCACGGACATCTACACACACGCACACCCGCACTGCACTACCACTGCACACACACACACACGCGCTCTCTCACAGCTGTGCGCTCTCTGGTGTTCTGCTGGTGGCTCCAGCGCGCTGCGCCGAGGGCTGACGACACAGCCCCCCGCTCTCTGCTTACTCTCCCTGTCTCTGCCCCCCACCCGCCCGTGTAGCCTGCGTCCCAGCATTGCCGCACACACGCGTGTGTCACGTGTGCGTGTGTGTCCATGGGCTCGGGGAGCGGCACTGTAGCGGTGAGCGCGCTGCGCTGCGAACTCAGCCACCAGAGTTCGATTCTCGCTCATGGGTCACCGACACCAGTGATGATTCTCTGAACAGGTCCTGGGCCTCCCCTAGGTTGACTCGGCCTCAAATTAATACCTGGTGCGGTGTGTAAACATCGCCACGATGGGAGACAAAGGCGGCCAGCCGTGGTGCTGGGCGACCACCCACACGTGTGCCGTGCCGGCCTTCAGAGGTGCTCGCTAACAGCACTTGCCCCAAGGCTATACGGGGGATCTTTGTCTTTGTCGGTGGGCTCTCGGCTGCCTATAGAGTGGCTGGATTGGTTCGCGATAAGCACAAGTAGATAAGAGCGAGAGAGATGCATGCGGGAAGGTTGCGGTAGGGTGGTGGTGGGGGGGGGGGGGTATTCGTGCTGGGAGGGATGCGGGAGGGAGCAGAAAGGGATTCGAGAGTGCAAATGAAGGGGATGCGGGATGGACAGGAGCAGGATGCGGGGAGGAGGAGGGATGCGGAAGAGAGAGAGAGATGGGGGGGGGGGTATGCGAGAGGAAGAGCCGTTCTCCGCTGCTCTTTTCCTCTCCAGCCGACACAAAGTTGCGCTTCTTCCATTGTCGTGGTCGCGGCTTTAAAGGCGCCGCGCGCACTTTTACGCAGCGCTCCTTGCTCCGGGATTTTATATAAAAATATATATATATTTTAAAAATCTGTCCGAGTCGTGGCGATCGCTCGAGTTGAGTGGCTTCGTGGACGCACGAAAGGGCGTTGCGGAAGAGCAAAGTCACGGACGGAAGTTGACCCGGGGCGCCTTATATTGAGAAGATGACGAGGATGCCATTGTTCGGGGCCTTTGTCATCTCGTTGGCGACAGAGAACTCAGCTTGTCAATGTCACCGCTTCACCTGTCACTCATTCTTGGTGATCGCAACACTCTCAGCAGGAGCGTTGCCTCGTCCACACGCATCGCCATGCCACTAACCATCAGAGGTGTGGTTGCGATGTCATCACCGTCTCACCCATCACCCTCCCCGGTGTCTCTCATCGTCTTCCTCTGTCTCTCCGCATTTCTCTCTTTGCCTCGCTCTCTCTCTCTCCATTCTCCCGTAGCGCTTAGCATTCAGGGAGTAGTAACGTGGGGGGGAGGGGGGGAGAGTTGTGGTTAGAGGGGGAGAGACGGGGGAGGGGAAGTAAGGCACTAGACAATGTCTTTTGTCTGTTATTGTTGGGAGGAAGCCGCGAAGAGAGAGAAAGAGGGCGACCCCCCCCCACACACACCGCCTCGCCACCACCCTCCTCCCCTTGTAAAAAAATGCAAATTTGCAAGTGAAAGAAGCCTCCTCCTCCTCCTCCTCGCTGCAGCATTGAGGAGGAGGAGGAGAGGCAGATGCTGCGAGAATAGATGCCGTACTCTGTGCACCCCCCCGCCACCGCCGCCAGCTCCGCACGTCATGGCCACTGACTGCTGCACCGCGCTGCCCGGTTTGTTTGGAATTGCTCCGGTTTCCCTGCACCACCAAAGCAAAGACAAAGACCCCCACCACCACCACCACCCCCACCACCACCCCCACCACCACCCCCACCCCCGTGTAGCCTGTAACGAGATTTGTTGGGGCAAGCGCTGTTAGCGAGTAGCACCTATGGCAGAGGCCGGCACGGTACACGAGGGGGTGGATGTCGATGTTTCCTACACGCCGCGCTTGCTACTCATTTGAGGCTGAGGCGACCTAGGGGAGGCCCAGGACCGGTTCAGATAATCGTCACCGGTGTTGGCCGTGAGCGGCAATCGAACCCGGGTCCGTGCGAACCGCTACCACTACCGCCACCACCACCACCACCACCTACCCAGCCTCCCCACCACCTCCTACCACCACCTCCTACCACCACCTCCTACCACCACCCAACCTGCTCCTCCTACTACCTCGCCCGTAGCTCAGATCGCCCCCCACCCCCATTCCACTATTCCTTGACGACCCCCCCCCCCCGCCTCATTGTGATTGTGTCCTGCCACTGAGCAAAGGCTACAATCTCCAACTCCTGGGGGAAGCTTCTCCCGAGATGCGACGGGGATTTGTAAACCTGGCCAGGCTATAATCGATTAGGGCTTCGTATTACGCAGACATTGTGTTTGAATGAGTCCGCGCGTGCGTGTTGAGGTCACTCAAATGAGTACCTGGTACGGTGTGTAAACGTCGCCACTGGGGAGACAAAGGCGGCCGGGCGTGGTGTTAGCTACCCACCCCCTCGTTTGCCGTGCCGGCATTCATAAATGCTCGCCAACAGCACTGGTCCCAATCTTCTGTTCCAGGCTGTACAGGGAATTTCTGTCTTTGTTTAGGTTTGTGTGGGGAGCCGTATAGTGCAGCAGCTGGCACTGACCCGAGTTCGATTCGTGACGATTTCATAAACCAGTCCTGGGCCTCCTCTAGGTCGACTCAGCCTCAAATCAGTGCTGTACCTGGTGCGATGTGTCAACGAGGGAGACGCAGGCAGCCCAGCGTGGTGTTCGATCAAAGCACTTGCCGCAGCCGTCTGTTCAAGGCCACGTGGGGGATTTCTGTCTTTGTTTATGTATCTACGTGTGTGTGTGTGTGCGTGGTATGTATGTGGGGGCGATGTATGGCCAAACAACCCACCATGACGAACAAACGTGGGGAGGAATAGATTCAGCAGTGGGTTGACAGGGGGCTTAAAATTAACGAAGGCGCTGCAAAAAAAGCCTACACATGAGATCTTTGTCTTTACTTTAGGTGTACACCTATATGGGTGTGCATAGGTGCAATTGTGTAATGTGGCTAAGTGTGTGCACGTGTACGTGCGTGTTACGTGTCAAGATGCCCAGCCTGCGTGTGTAGTAACCCTGTGTGTAACATGTGGAGCGTGGGTGTTTATCTCGCGAATTCGCTGACGATGACAGACGCTGGCAAGGGAATGCGTGGCCGCACGGATGCGAGGAACACGGGGAGAGACCGCGCGAGTTATGCCCAGATATCCGCGCTTACGCTGGGCTCCAGTCAGGTTGTGGGCACGCTTGGTCTGCTTGTGTATCTGCCGTGCCTGCGAGTGAATGCGTGGGTGGGGAGCGGTAGTGCTGCGGACCCAGGCACCCCGAGTTCGATTCCCACTCACGGGCAACACCAGTGACGATTATCTGAACCGGTCCTGGGCCTCCCCTAGGTCGACTCAGCCTCAAACGAGTACCAGGCGCGGTGTGTAAACATCGCCACATCTTGTAAAAAAACAACAACCGTGCAACAACAAAAATATGACATTCGTATTTTTTTGTTTCTACTGGAAATTTAAATTTAACGGGCGCACAAATACAGAGGAGGCTCGGGGTCACAGCGTCACCCCACCACTTCGCCCTCACCGGCATTAATTAGCCTCGGCTCCTCATTGTTACGCAAATTAGCCTGTGGAGGCGCCGTGTAAGATGGGCAGAGCATGAGAGAAGCTGTAACGGGGGAGTGTGGGGGGGATGTGATCATATTTTAATATTGTGATGGTTGTCGATCAGTTAGGTGTTGCTGCTCCTGTAATACTGTGTTTTCATGTGTGCTGATCAGTGGGTTGGTTAGGGTTTTTGGGGATGAGATTTGTCAAGCCGCGTTGAGATCGGTGGTGATCGCGGGGTGGGTGGCAGAGTTCGACTCCCGGCCATGGGCAACATCAGTGGCGAGTAGCATCTTGAACCTGTGCTGGGCCTCCACTGGGAATAGATAATGAGACGGAGAAAACAAGCAAAGAAAAGTCACAACGGCCATTTCAAGGATTCGCGTTAAATGCATGACCAGAGATGAGCAGAGATGGCCAAGATGCGAAGAGAACTATAAATGTTTTGCGAGTGAGGCAGCGAGAATGGGAGCGTGCAGTTTGTGTTCCATTGTGCAGTGTAATGGCAACAGTGATTGTGTATGGACCAGCACGTGCGTCTGTTTGGATGCACGTGTTTGTGTACATGTACGGGTGTATACGCACATTCAAGAGAGTGTGTGTATGGATACATGTGTGCCGCCCTGCCTGTGTACATGGGGATGCACGAGTTCGTGTGAATATACTCTGTGTATATGCGGACATGGTGCACCTAGCCTGGCACGGGCGCTGTGGTGACGTCGCAAACTGCGGCTGTTGTGTTTTGACTTGTGTATGTGTGCACACACCTCTGTGTGTGAGCGGCTGCACGTGTGTGCGATGTGCAAACATCGCCACTGGGGAGACAAAGGCGGCCGGGCGTGGTGCTGTCCACCCACCCCTGTCGTGTGCCGTGTCGGTCTTCATAGGTGCTCGCTAACAGCACTTGCCCCAACAATCTGTTAAGGCTATATATATAGAGGGGGGTCTTTGTCTTTGCGTGTGTACGGCTGCACGTGTGTGTACGTACGGACACGTGTGCTTGTGTTGGAAAACACGAACAGCGCGATTTGTGCTCGAGGGAGCGGAGCCATCGCGCGTCGCCTCGGCCACGGCGGAAATCCGCCCCGGTCCAGCGTCTCGCGAGGGCTCCGTGCTCTGCCTGCGTCTCTGTCTTTGGCCTAATGAGCGATGGCCTGAATTGAAAGCAACATATTGTGACAAATTTATCCCTTAGTGAGTTGACGTATGCGTGAATAGAGGGCTCGGCGAGGAGGGGGTGGCCGCGATGCCTCAGTAGAGGCGAGAGAAAGAGACCCCACGGCAGCGGGAGGGGGTGGAGTCGGGGGGGGGCTTCTCTCTGGGCCCCGTGGCTGATGGCTGGGTCAGATGGTGGCTTGTTCTGATGGTGGCTGCGTTGGTGGATGTGTCTCTCGGTGGCTGGGTTTGATGGTGGCTGGGTCAGATGGTGGCTTGGTCTGATGGTGGCTGGGTCTCATGGTGGCTGCGTTGGTGACTGGGTCTCTAAGTGTCTGGATCTGATGGTGGCTGGGTCTGATGGTGGCCGTGACTCTCGGTGGCTAGGTCTGATGATGGCTGGGTCTCTCTGTGGCCGAGTGGGTTAGTGGCTGTGTAGGGTATGTGTCTGTGAGTGGGTTAGTGGCTGTGTAGGTAGGTGGCTAGGTGACTGGGTGGTTTGCTGAATGAATAATTTGGTAGGATTGTGGGTTGGTAGCTTGGTGGGTTCGTGGCTGGGTGACTGGGTGGTTTGGTAACTGAATGGTTTGGTAGGATTCTGGGTTGGCAGCGAGGTGGATTCGTAGGCTGGGTGAATGGGTGAATTCATGGCTGGTTTCACGGCCCGTTGGAGTGGCGGTTTGGTGGCTGTGTAGGTTGGCAGTTGGGTAAGTAAGCGGCTGGATGATTTGGTAGCTGGGTGGATGGGTAACCGTTGGTGATTTGGTATCGTTTGTGGATCGGCGGGTTGGCGAATCGGTGCCGTTCATTGCGCTGTCGCTCACGACCTCAGTTCCTGAAACCCCCCATCTATACCAAAAAAAACTAAGAAAGAGAAAAAAGAACTCCTCCCCCCCCCCCCCCCAAAAAAAAGAGAAATCTTTCGCATGGCCCCCGGCGGGAGATTTCCTGTGGAGCAGCGGGGGTGCCATTTCTACCGAGGGGTAATCCGGGTAATCCGGCCCCAGAGCACACGGCCACGCGCACACGCACGCGCAGCGCCGAGACGCCACGTACGCGGCGCGCAGACGGCGGTGTGACGGAGTCATTACCATCGTCAAGAGCACCGCCGCCATCGCCATGCTCAAATCGTTGCAGTCATTAATGGCATCATGTTGGCTCGTTTAACTGGGATCGTCACCTCAGTTTTTACCGAATGGAATCATCAAAATACTTTCCACCATCACTGTCACCAGTATAATTACAGCTGTCATTGTCGTCTTTAATTAAATCATCATGGTCTGCGCCACCGTCCTCACCACTTACCAAGACGAGGATAGCCATGACTGTCATCATCATCCTTACACTTGTCATTATCTCTGCTTACATCATCATTCGCGGTGCCAATGCTGTCACTCCTGCCCCAGCGGCTTGACACCCGCGTGTCCGTGCGTGCGTCCACTCATCCTGCGCGTCCGTCCGCGTGCGCGTCGTTCCCTCCGCAGTGGGCGGGCGGTTGAGCCGCGAGGTGTCGTACACGCACGAGCACCTGGGCCCCGACTCCGCACTGGGCCTGCAGCTGCTGATCCAGACTCCGCGCGGGGCCAACAACGAGGGGGGCAAGGACGAGGGCAACGCCGCGGGCAACGCCGGCGTGCTCACGCCCGACGGCCTCGCCCAGCACCTTCGCTCCGCGCACGCCGCCAGCCGCGTCTCCGTCAACCTCTACGGCCGGTACGTGCCCGTCGGCCCGCCCCGCCGGGTGGCACTGCCCCGCTGCTGCCACGTTTCAGGCGGCGCGTGTCCCGTGCAGGCCTAAATAGGTGCTCGCTAGCAGCGCTTTCCCCAACAGGTCGGTGTAGGTTACCTGGGTAGCTAGTGGGGAATTTGTTGAAGAGGCAGGGAGGGATGCTTGGACGTACGGATGTAAGGCAAAGTCTGTTAAGGGCTACATGGGCGATCTTTTGTATTTGCATGTGTGGGCAGTTTGTGTCTGAGTGGTAGGGCGGTGGCTATTGTACAGGACTATGACCCCGGCTATCTGGGTTTGAGTTCCGAAATTACCACCTGCAACATCATCGTTATTATTAGCATCCTTATCATCAAGAACTACAACCAACAACATTGTTATTATTATTATTATTATCATCATCATAATTAGATATTTACGCGATCTAACCTCTTATTATGGATAATTATTTTGATCGACAATCGAGGTCTTGTTCAGTTTCAGGCACCGATTGCCACTGAATCAAACCCACATCACTGTGAGTGTAGTACAGGACACGGTCCCCTAAATCTCTGCTCCACACACGATCAACGTATCCGCACGCACACACACACACGCACACACACACACACGCACACACGCACACACACGCACACACGCACACACACACACGCACACACACACACACACGCACACACGCACACACACGCACACACGCACACACACACACGCGCACACACACGCGCACGGCTTGTGTCTCCGTGTTGTGTTGGCCTCACAGCAGACACCGATTGCAGCTGCCGTAGCCAAACGCGGCCTCGCCGCCAACTGACTGACCGCCCCCCCCTGCCCCCCTCCGACCCCCACCTTCCCCTCCGCACGTTCTGCTTCCAGGAACTGGGACCTGAATAAAATCTGTTACAAACCTGGGATTCCGCTGACGGAGAACCGCGTGCTCGATCAGGTATGTGGGTGGGGAGGGGGGGGCGCAGACGCACGATCGTCTTGCGCACGTCCCGGTGCTGGTGAATGGAGCAGTTCGGCTCGAATTCGAGTGGCCGTGGGGAAGCTCCTCGTTCATGCTGCCGTTAACATACGCACCGCTCGGAAGTGATGTCGCCGCATCGAAAGTTTTTCGGATTGCGTATTACTTATATCTGCGACGCACGCACGCACGCGCTCACGCACGCACGTGCTAATCCACGCACCCTCTCGCCGGCCGCGTGGCATTGTCACCCTGACAGGCGATGGAGAAGCTTATCCCGTGTGTGATCGTGACGCCGCTCGACTGCTTCTGGGATGGAGCCAAGCTTCAGGGAGGGAAGTTTTACCTCTCGTAAGTTGATAAAAAAATTCATGCAAACACACGCACACACACGTGCATTATCTGTGCCAGGTGGCAGCCTAAAGGGAGACCTGGGCCTGCAAAGTAATACAGTAAGCATGTGAAACATTTAACACCGTAAACCTTATACCAAAAAACAATGAACGACGGGCGTAAAAAAAGAACAACCATTAAATGAACAATGATGCAGAATATAATTTTAGAACGTAATCAAATTAGTAGCTAGATAAATTGTAGCTCTGGAATAGGTTATGGCTCACAGTGGCCGAGTAACGAATCACCTCTGGGTCCCCGCCAACTCTGAGAGGTGGGGGGGGGGGAGGACTCGTTAATTCTTCCTGGATTTTGAGTGGCCACTTAAAAACTCATTATTGCGATTTAAACCATCTCATGGGTTTATTTTCTTCCACCAAACGCCAGCTGCTGCCCACCCCAGCTCAGAACATTGGCTCCTCGCTTATTTAAATAAAAACCGTAAGAATTCCACTACGGGTCTTTTTAACAACGTTGACAGTTTCGGTTTGTGGCACGGCCCACAATGCGAGCGGCTCTTGTGAATCATGCCACAGGCCCAGCGACGTGGCCCTGCTCTCATCGCAGCACAGGTCACAGTTCACGGCTGGTAGTTTCGGGGTGGTGGTAGTGGGAAGGGGGTGGAAGGGGAAGGGTGGGGGTAGGGGATAGAGCTCAGGGTGGTTGTGGGCTGGTTGGAGAGAAAGGCATTAGGCTGCTCATGATGGGCAGCGGTCATGCGCCCCACTTCCCGCCGAGGGAAATTTTAGGATTTTAGGTGTACAAACACGATGCACATCGTCCGTCGTCCGGCAGAGCGTTATTACCGCTGCACGGCCGATGGCTTTCATTTCAATGGGCTGCTGTGAGCCAGCGCTGGGACGTTGAGTAGGATTTTTGTTCCCCTCGAACCGTGAGCATCGTGGCCTTGAATCGCAGGGCCAAATACCTTTGGCCGTCACTCAAGCGTGGGTTAATTACCCCGCCAACAAACGGCGCTTCTATAAGGGGTTTTGGGTGGACGCAAACAAAAACTGCTTTTAATTGGAGACTTCTCGATGCACGCAGCTCACGACTGCTCACAGCGACCCCCCCCCCCCCCCCCACGTTTCTTCTGAGCTCTCTCCGAAGCCGTAAGGGCCCAGCGCTTGAGACCGCGATTATAATGCAGTTACCTCCGCGAACTCCCTGCTGGAATGACTGAAGAGTGGCTTACAAAGTTGGTTTATTATAAAACTATAAGTATGTAGGAGACCGCGTTTTGCAGTGATGCTCAGGCACAGTTCACGAAACTCACGAAGCGCTCGTCGCATTTGTCATCGGCATCGCCTGATCGTGGACATAAGGCACACATTTGTGAGTTCACTTCGGATGCACAAGGGAAACGGACGAAATATAAAACTGCATTTATTTTTTACACTAATGGAATTTATCTATCCAGGAAAGTCTCACTGAGCGTCAGGACTTCATTGGGATATTTGTAGCAATTCTAGTCGTTTTGCATTTTTCCAGTTCTACTTTTTAAAAAGTTTATATTTAGAAAAAGAAATAGCTTTCAAGTAATTATTAATTTATATTCCGGCCATTTTTCGTTTTCTCTCTCTCTTTTTTTCGCCCTTTCGGTTTTGTTTTAGTTTTATTTTCGTGGCGGCGTAACAAAAAAAACGCGCGCACTTTTTATTTTAGTTTTTTTGCGAGTTTCTGATTGGGCTGAGCCGGCCGGGAGCGCACAAAGGCAGGGTCCGTTAGTGGCGAGGACGTGCTCCGTCCGTCTAAGCGCAGGCCACACAAAGGGGGCTCTGCAAGGCCAATGAAGCAGACAAAATGCCAGGGAACGGCCTCCATGGACCTGCATGTTAAACAGCCCTGCCCGGGTGTGGGAATGTGGGGCTCGTGGGGGGCGAGCGTGCGTGCGCGTGTGCGTGCGTGCGTGTGTGCGCGTGCATCGACGCACACGCGCACACCCGAGCACACGGGCGAGCGTGAGTTTTGTGTGCACGCGCGGACGCGTCGTTCTCTCGTGTGCACGCGCGTGGGTTGCGCACTCGTGCCTGGATGTGCACGTGTGCCTGCACTTACACGCGTGTAGGTGTGTGCACGCGTGTGTCTTCGCTCTCTTTTGTTGTGCGTGTACATGTGCATGCGCATGTGTGTCAGTGTGCGCTACAAAATGTAAAGTTTGAAACTTTGAGGATGGATGTTTTGTTCGTGAGTTGAATGAAAGCTTCGAAGTGTTTTGCGTTTTTTTTCCTTGGGCTGGGAAGAAGCACTGACACCCAGCGCCCTGTTTGCTTGGCCGTCCGATTCCCCTTTCAAAATATAGAGACTTCTCTCCATTTGTCTGCACATTCTTATTCCCACGACCCACGTGTGAGTGTGACTGTGAGCGTGCGTGAATGCGTCTGTGTGCACGTGTGCCCGCGTGTGTGCGCTCACGTGTGTGAGCACGCCTGCACGCTTGTCTTTGTGTGTGTGTGCGGTGGTGGCTGTCATCCCCGGCCGGCCGCCCATGTGTCCCCCCTGGTCCCCTCATTATTACAAAAGTGGGGATTGCACACGGAGCGAAGGGCAGGGGCGGGGGGGGGGGAGCTGCGTGGGGAGAAGGGGCAGGGAACAGAAAGGAGTCGTGGTCTCCCTTCCCCATCTTTCCCAGTGAGTTATTTACGAGCAGCCGCTCCCCGAGAGAAACCCCCGCCCGGACCGCCCGGCTGCCAAGGAGGAGGAGGGAAAAAAAACATTCCGTTTACCCTCAAGACTTCAGCATAACAGCAATTATGTTTGATCGCGTTCAACACACGGCAGCCCTCTTCTCTCTCCCAGAGCGCGCGTCCGCGCGGGGGTTCGTCCTGCCGCGGCCGCTTGCCGGGCGTTGGCGTCTATCTCGGCGACCAGGTCCACGCGCCGCACGCGGATCGGCGGCGGCGGTGGCAGCGCCACGGCTCGGGGCGATCGCAGGGAGTGGAGGGGAAAAGGGGAGAGAGAAAAAACAAACCCCGGGGTGGCGAGGATTGGGGAGGGCGGCGAGGCCCCCGCGGGTTGGGGGCTCTTAACGACGGACAGATCATCCCCGCCGATTACGGGGTCGGCCGCCACGCTCGGCCGCGCCGCGGGGACGGATAATTCTTCATGTGAAATTGTTCGGTGGAGGAAGAAAATAATAATAATAAAGAGGGGGAAGGAGGCCGTGCCCCCCGCTGCCTCCTGAACGCGCTCCAGAAAATCAGACGTGGGGTTTTGTCGTCGAACGTTAACGCACGGCGGCAACACCGGTCTGCGACGTCGATATACATTTTTTTGTTTGTTTGCTGAAACTCCTTTTGACAGGAATGTATCAAGAGCCTCAGAAGGGCTCTGCATCTTCCCGAGCGTGAGGTCTCAGGTGGTGACGGTGCGGGCAGGTGCTGTCCCCTCGTATGCGTGGACTTGTTCTGGGCCAAACTCTCGTGAATGTAGTTGTCCAAATATCACAAGAAATGACATTCCTGAAAGAAAAAAAAATCTAGACAGTGAGGATTTCCTGGGTTAATAATTGGCATTGATCTTATCACATTTACACTAACTCCTCCTCCTCCGGTATTGCGGCAGGAGCACACTGGAGTACCGCTGGACCAACCTGGACCCGCAGGCCTTCCTGCAAGGCTTCCAGGCTCTGCGCGACCTCGACCTTGGCGACCTTGAGGAGCTGCTGTCCCGGGCCGAAGTCGGCCGCGGCTACGTGGACCGGCCCTGCCTCGACCCCACGGAGCCCGACTGCCCTGCCAGCGCCCCCAACAAGCAGCGCCGCGAGGTGAGAGGTCACCGCGCGACTTTTTCTTCCCTCAAGCCGTCGGGCACTCGGCTCCCGTTCTCGCGAACGCCTCTCGGGTCGCGCCATCTCATGGTGACGTCGGTTGGAAGTGAATCCGACGGACGTACATCCAGGACATACATCTGTCTCTCTGTTGTCGCGGGAGATCGCACTCGTTTTTGTCCTCGTCCCAAGCCGACGATCACAGCTTGCTTTCTCTCCGTCGCCCGCCCGCCGTAGCCTCTGGACATTGGGCGGGAGCTGTCCAAGGGCTGCCATGGCTTCTCGCGCAAGTTCATGAGCTGGCAGGACGAGCTGATCATCGGCGGAGCGCGCCACAACAGCAGCGGCTCGCTGGCGAGGTGAGCATCTCGCTCGTTCGGTCCGGTGATAGCCTCACTCCCGTAGGCGATGGTGGCAACTAGGGATGCCACCTGTCGTGGTTTTCCCGAGGGACATCCTCTTGTTGCAGTGGCCGTCCCGGGAAATGAAAACTAAAGCCTTCCCGGGACATTCATTATTTTTTGTCAGATTGCGTCATAATAGTAACAACAAAATGCACCAATCGAGACGAGGCATTTAGGCGCTCCCCTCTTCTGCCATCAGTGAGATATTCTCCTTCCCACGACGACGTCCCGGGTTTTTTGTTGTTGCTGTTGTAAAGTCGAAGGCGGCAGCGCCGGTGCTGATGGAGCGAGCGGGTCGTGTGCTTGTCGTGGTGTGCGCAGCGCCGAGGCCCTGCAGACCATGTTCGTGCTGATGAACGCGCAGCAGCTCTACGAGACCTACAAGGACAACTACGAGGTGTACGACCTGCGCTGGACGCTCGACAAGGCGGCCGCCATCCTCGATTCCTGGCAGCGCAAATTCGTCGAGGTGAGACGCGAAAAACGTGCCGCGCCGTGTGAAGAAGACAACCGCTCTCACGATTTACAAACACCTCAATGAATAATTCATTGTTGGGTTAGGCCACGTAACCTTTGCCGAGTCAATGCGATGCGTTACTTCACCTACGTCAGGTGTTACCCACGAATTACGCCTCCTCGTCCGACACGCCAGCGATGGCATGCAGCTTGACTCCCTTCATCCTTAGCTTCTACAGTTTTGTCATTTTGTTGAATTAAAAAAATTACCTCCCCACGGAGATCGGCTTAACAAGCATCGCAGATCATTTGCGTGTTATTGCAATCCCCGACGGTCGTGTTAATTGTTTAAAAAAATTAATGATGGAAATTAAGATTACGTCTAAACAACGCCGAGCGATGCTTGGAGCATCTGTGAGGGTCGGTGCGGGGGTTGGGAAGCCACCGATGTTCCCGGCGGTTGTTTTGAAGCTGACCGGCGGCAGCGGTGGCAGCGCTGTGGGCCCTGCGAGCCCGCCTAAGCCCGTAAGTGGCTTCCTCGAGAAAATAGTTTTGAGAAAAGGGTCTCAGGCTGAGCGTGCTGGTCAGGTTGGGGGGTGGGGGGCAGGAGAATTGCTGAAGAAGGGAGAGAGGGAGGGAGGGAGGCAGCCGCGGGAGGGAGGGGAGAGAGCGAGCGAGGGAGGGAGAGAGGGAGGTGGGGCTCGCGTGTCACTCAATTAGTGGATCGTGCTTTGTGCGGCCCATTCACAGCCTCCCGCTGGCAACCAACGACAACATCGCAGATCAGGCCTGAGTGAGGGCCTTTAGCCGTAATGATCCACAACAGCCCATGCCTCGCTAGTCTCTTTGAGTTTGTGCTGCTTTTCTTGAAGAGTAACGCCGCCGTCGGCAGGCAGGCAAAAAAAAGGAGGCCATACATGCACCGAATTAAAATAAAAACACGTATTTTTTTGGAGGGGGGGGGGGAGGTTTGGCAAAGAAGAACGGTTTTCCATCGGCGAGCACTCCCCGCTTTGACGTACGGATCCGAAATGCGGACACTGACGAGGCAAGTGGAGACGAAAGCTGAAAAGTGCGCGATGAAGCGTGGAGAGGCACATGTTTGTGCAAGCTTGGGCAGGACACGTCGCGGCTAGGAGGATTGACTTTCCGGTTGTCGAGCCTGGCGACGGAATGACAGCAAGAGCAGGGAACACGCCCGACAGAGGACGTGCACTATGGAGATGGAGCAATTAAATCAGGTGCTAGTTGGATTGTTACATCCCATGTCTGTGAGAGATTGGGGAGGCCTTCATCCAGGAGTGTATAGATATTGGTGATGATGCAGCCATGATGGTGATGATGTTAATGATGCAGTGGTGATGATGGTTATGATGCGGCGGTGATAACGAGGATGATGACGATGATGATGACGACGACGATGATGACGATGATGACGACGACGATGATGACGACGACGATGACGACGACGACGATGATGACGGCGATGATGACGGCGATGATGATGACGACGACGATCACGCGGCGTGTTTCCCCGCGCCAGGTCGTGCACGCCAGCGTGCCCGCCGACTCCGCTCACGACGTGCTGCCCTTCTCCACCGCCACCATCGAGGGCATCATGAAGTCGTTCTCGGAGATGAGCGTGATGCGTGTCGCCGGGGGATACGTCCTCATGGTACGGGTACGATCGGTTTGGCAGATTGAATCAGACTCGGTTCGTCTCGTCACTCCAATGTGCACTCGTATTCTCTGAAACACATGCCAATCAGTGCCGCATTATCCTAGTAGCAAAAGTAGCTACATATGCTACAGGCCCCACACTTTCAAGGGCCTCGCGCTAAATGCTTTCAAGCTATAAATTCCGGTTCAGTGATTCTGCACTTGCTCTATCACTATAGTACTATACTGCCTTCAACTTTTTATGAACGACTGGGTGTTTAAGGTTAGCTATTTGTCGCATTATCTGGCTGTATAGCAAATGAAAATATTCAATTACTTTACTATGCAAGTAAAAATGCGTGTTTTAATATTTATGTGTTTTTTTTATTAATTTAGGGCCTCTTTATAACATTTGCTACAGGCCCCGCACTAGCTTAATCCGGCATTGATGCCAATGTGTGCGTGTGAGAGAGAGAGAGCGATATCAAACGTTGCGAATCGGCTTAGCGGTGGGACAGCGACCCAAGTTTGATTCCGCAACCGTGGCTTAACACGAGTGGCGAGTGATGGCCGAGAGCCACGGGTGAAGAATGGTGTAAAAAAAAACATAAACCATGACCGAGACGGAGTGGAGAGGCCTTCATCCAGCAGTTTATTGACAGCAGGATGATCAAAAGGATTATACCATTTCCATGATTATCATCATCATCATGTTCCATCACCAAACAGGTTGGTCATGCGTAATTTATACGCATACATGCGTTTCTATCCGAGTGACTTAATACTTTCAATTTAAAGCTTTCGTGACTGCAGGGATTCATCTTCTTGGTTCTTTCGGTAAAGTCACGTAGAAGGGAAATAAAAAAAAAACATTATGTTTTATTTTTATTATTATTTCCCTTCGACGTGACTTATGTTTTATCTTTATTATTTTATTATTTCCCTTCTACGTGACTTTACCGAAAGAACCAAGAAGATGACTTAATACTGTAACAACCGCAACATTTTTTTTCTACGTATTCGTTGACCAAAGTCGCACCCGGTTGAGTTTGGGCTCTCGCCAGCGCCTCCATCGACGGGCTCCGGGGAGCGTTGGGGCTTCCGAGGCCGCAGTCCGCGGACCAGAGGTCGCAAACGGGTTTTGATTCCTTACCCGTACCCGTACCCGGCCGCACCAGGGTCGCAAACGGGTACCCGTACCCGGCCGGGTACGGGTAGCCGGGTATCGGGTAGGGTACGGGTATCGGGTACCCGGTTGCGACCTCTGCCGCGGACTCGGCAGACTGCGACCAGAAACGGCGGTGGCTTCTTTCTCCTCTTCTGCCTCCTCTCTTTTTTTTCTGCGCATTTTCTACGAAGAATTCAGTCGTAATTACAGGGGGCCCCATCCCCTCCTCCCCCCGTCACCGCCGCCCTGCCCCCATCGCCGTCCCCATCAGCGGGGAGCGGGGGGGGAGAGGGAGGCGCCCCGGGTAGCAGGGAGGGGTCTCGTTAGGATCCTCCAGATAAACATCAGGCCCTTGGCCCCCAGTAGATTGGAGCAGCCAGAGAACTTAAGTATTTTGACAAATATATATATTTTTTAAATCTTCAGTCGCGTTGTTGTTACGCATGTGCGTTCGTTGGACTTCTCTCGCCAAACGCGCATATCAGAGGTGCGGGGGGGGGGACAACAAACTAAACGTAAAAAGCATTTCTGAAGAAATGAGTTTTCAATCTAGATAATTTAAAAGTGCAAAGCTCCAGTGGCCTCCTAAAATCGGAAGGAAGGGCATTCCAGGCGGCCGCAGAAGCGCATCTGAAACCGTGCACGATGCGGTGTTCAATAATGGATCCTACCACACACGATGGAGGCCACGAGAGAGAGAGAGAGAGCACCTGGAGTGAACGTAGACCGAGTGTAATTGAGAGATGTGGCAGGAACAGCTACAATAACGACAATTACTTACCAAGGAGAGCATTGCCCAGTCTTAGGGCTTTTGTTTTTAAAGAAGGTCATGCATTGGAATGTTTGGCCGGTTTAACGAAAAGAGTGAGGGTCAAAAACGGAGAGCCCAGAGGAAAACCCACGCCTACGAGGGGTGAGATAACTTTTCACATTTCTACAGATAGTTTCGATCCACAGACTCTAACCTACCCATGGACCGAATCTATCTGTGGGACCACACCCAAGACTGTGCTGTCATCTCCTGGCATCTCGCAGCCCCCGTTGGTGGTCACACTAACTAGAGACTAACCAGGCCCGAGCCTACTCGCCCATTTCTCCGCGTAAAAAAAAAAAATGAACATTTGAAATAAAAATGTAGATTAATTTCACGTGGCGAGCGTCCCAGCAGCGCTTGTACCAGGCGCGTGGTTATGCTCACATGCGTGGAGGCGGCCGTTTGGCGGGCGTAGCGGAGCGGAGTCGCTGGAATCTGACGGCGTGTGTGCCGTTGCAGCTGGTGTACGCGTGCGTGGTGATGATGCGCTGGGAGTGCGGGAGGTCCCACGGAGCCGTGGGCCTTGCCGGGGTCCTCCTCGTCGCCCTCTCCGTCGCCTCGGGCCTCGGGTTCTGCTCGATCGTCGGCCTCACGTTCAACGCCGCCACCACCCAGGTGCCTGCTCCCTGCTGCCGACAGCGGCGCCAACATCGCACCATCACCACCACGATTGCTGCCCATGCTGCTGCTGCTGCCGGCACTACGACCATGATCAACAACGCTATCGACGCCACACACCGACAGCCCTTTCTAGAACTACTGTCAGCATCACTACCGCCGCCACCAACACTAACTACCAGTACCACCACTATGAATACTGCGAGCATCACTGCTGCTATTGACAGCGTCTACAAGAGAACTCCTCTCATCCGCGGTGATATCGGGGACCAGTGCTGTGTGTGGATCCTGTTATCCACAGGGTTATCCGCAATTTCACTTCTCTTAGCTGCTCGATTTTTCTCCGCAGAAAAACCCACGAGTATTAGGAGGCCACTTTATTATGCATTGTGGGTAACGTCGTCAATAACCTTAGATAATAGGAAGAAATAGGGCTGCGGATAATAGGAGTCTGTAAATGCATCACCACAACTACTACCGCCAGTATCACTACTACTACTACCAACGTCGTTGTCGTCACACCTGTCAACACCACCACTCCTTGCAGTAGAGCACAACACTACGAAGTCCAGAAACCACAACGCCACCGAGACCACCACCTGCGCCACCGCCACGACTTACAGCTCCATCAATTGCGCTCAGCACGGCGTGTGCCGAAAACACAGTCATCCTGATCGTTAGCCAGGTCACCGTGGGTAAGCGTTGAAGATTCATGATAAATGGGACCTGCCCTCTGCACCCCCCCACGCACGCACCCCTCGTACCCCCCCCCCCACGCACCACAACCACCCCTGACTCTCGCTGCGCCATCCCCCAGGTCCTCCCATTTCTGGCGCTTGGGGTGGGAGTGGATGATATGTTCCTGCTGGCTCATGCTTTCGTGGGACAGAGCGACAACATCCCCTTCAAGGTGAGATGCCTGCCTAGCCGCCCGCGCTTAAACCAAGTGTAGCGATTCGACGATGGTCTCGGCCGCGTTAGTAACGGTTGCGCAAAAACAACTACGATATAAAATTTGGCTTTCTCCACTTAGTTTGGCTGAATCCTAGCTCTGAAAGTTTCAACGTTTTGGTTTGACCACCCAGAGAGATGAACATTTCTCCGTAGTACCGCGTGTGTGAAAGAGCACCGCCTGGTGTGTGGATAACAAGTTAACTTAAAAGGGATCTCGGAAGTAGTTCTGTTACATCTTCTTCTGGACGGACATGTCGTCCCGTGACATGATGCTCGTGCCGCAATTGCAATGACGTTGGGATAAAAGAGGACGCGACTAAAGGTGAGGCCGCCAAATCGTCGCAGCGCAAGCAGCGCGGTAATAAAAAAAAACGCCGGCGTGCAAGTGCCGGCCAGCCGGGCCTGGTCCGAGCGAAAATCCCGTAAACGAAAAACGATGAGTTGTGGGCTGAATGGACACAGACCCTCACAGTGGAAGGGGGGTGGGTCTGGGGCCCGTGAGGGTTGCGGGCGGTCTGTGTCGCTGTCCCTTCTCACAACAACTCGGCTCTGTCAGGGACAGAACAAGGCCGGCTCGGCCAAGGCTTTGCGCAGCCGACGTGTTGTAATTTCGTGAAAAAAGTTCATCGCCGAGAGTAAACATCTCAACTTTCCAAAAATGCATTTTTTTTTTACGTCACTCGCTCGCAAGTGTTTTTTGTCCATTTTTTTCTCCCTCCTTCCTTCAAACCAAAGTCCAGGCAAAAAAAAAAGTAAACAATAGCAAGCGGCTTTTTGAGCCTCACTGCTCGGGAAAGGAAAAGCCATGGAGGAAGGGGGTGGTGGAGGGAGGGAGGGAGGGGGCGGCAGTTTGAAATTGAAGGCGAAAGCAGGCGCAGAAAGAATGCGCAGCTCGGGACTGTGTGGGTGGTCTCTCTCTCCCTCTCTCGTGCTCTCTCTCTCGATTCCCCCCCACCCGTCCACCCATCCACCCACCCTCTCTCTCTGTCTCTCACTTCATGGCTCTGGAAATTTCACCGACTACCCTTTAAAGACGGCGCATCTAAATCGGCCCTCCGAGAGGCGGTCAACCTCCTTGCCGCCGTCGGGGGGTGCGCACGCGAGGCCCACCGCGTGCCGGCTCGCTCGCGCGCTCTTCCCCGTCGTTGCCGCGATCGTGAGGTTATTTATATTTTTGTTGTTTGTTTTGTCTTCTCGTCTCAGTACCGGCTCGGGGAGTGCCTACGCGAGACGGGCACCAGCGTGGTGCTCACCTCCGTCAACAACCTCGTGGCCTTCCTCATGGCCGCGCTCATCCCCATCCCGGCGCTGCGCAACTTCTCCCTTCAGGTAGGCGACTGCCACGCGGCCCGGCGGCCGCTCCCCACGCGGCCCCATGGCGTCCGTTTGGCGCGCGCTCGCAACGCCGAGGGGGACGCGAGTTCGGCGGAATCGCAGTGGGCCTCGCCGTGGGTAGGCCGCGCTTGCTTGACGCGGGCCTATCCTGGCTTAGAAAAAAAACCAACACGATTCTCGTCAAAGCTTCTGAACGGCTGCACTGAAATCAGGGAAAATCCGCCACGACCCTCTGTGGAGGTGGCGACAACTCGCGATTGGTGAAAGTTAGGACCGCGAAGGCGTTGGGGGGGGGAGATGTGGAACTTTTATAGCAGCGGGCGCAAGCGGTGACATCTGCAGCGAGCTCGGTCGTGGCTTTTGTTTCGAGACAACGCCACGCGGGGGGGTGGGGGGGGGTGGTGCGGGGGGGGGGCAGTGGCACCATCACCCTGCCCCTCACCCCACCCTCCACCGCCCCTCACCCCCAACTCGTAAACTCGGCCCTGCGGCCTCGCCGCGCCGTGGAGAGGAGTGTGAGAACAGTGCGGCCGATGCGGGTTAATTTTTCACTCTGGGCGAGGAAGCGGTGATCTACGAGCCGCGGACCGCGCCAAAACGCCTTCCGCTCTGAGCCGTGGCCACCGGGGACCACGGTTGGCACCGTGCGGTCTCGCTGCCGGACGGTCCAAACAGAAACCAATTTCTCTCGGCCGAACGAAAACAAAAAAACACCCCACGTAGTTACAAACCCTCTGACAGCTCCGCGCGCTGGGTCCCGTTATTTTTTTGGCATTTTGTGCCCAGCCGCAACCCGAGAGTGGCAATTACTTGAAATCCTAACTTGGCACCGTGCAGTCGAGGCATGAAAGTGGATTGTGCCGGTGGGCCGCTCGCTCACGCACGCACGCACTCACTCACTCTCTGGCATGCACCCGCTCGCTCGCTCACGCACCCACTCGCTCACTCGCTCACTCACTCACTCTCTACGGAGGAGGTGAACGCAGTGCGGAACAGGGGCTGAATATTTTGGCGTCGATGCAGGAGTGTATTCACACCACCGCTCCACCTCCTCGTGTCCGCCAAGTCATGCAGTCGCTTCTCGGCTTCCAGAGTCTTGAGAAGGATTTACAATTCCGCCTGCGAACACTATCGAGGGGCGTGACATCTCCTGATCGCATAAGCCCCTTGAGCCACAACTTTGTGATCTTCGGCTGTAATTCAGTTGATCTCTCTGCCATCTCTCGTCAGGAGCGCTGAGTGTTTATGTTACAAGGCAGGGGTAATGATGAAGATGGTGATATTTTAAAAATAGATTTTTGTCATGTCTGCCACGCTATACTGTTTTGCCGGGTGTCATGTGTATATATTAGAGAGTTGCCGTCAGAACGCTCACCTTTTTGCGCCGGTTTGGCACGACCGATTCGACTAAACCGTTCGTGTAAAACCAGGTTCCAAACTCAGAACGCGCCCGAGTGAGCCGCAGTTCGCTTCCTAAACATTCCTGCGGCGAGAGGCGGTGTGGGGGGGGCACCGCGCTCCACCGATGGCAGCCGCGTATTATCTCGCGTGAAAAGGAAAGGTTTTTGTGTGTGTGTACGTTGTTTGATTTTCGGCGTACCGCCACCGCCGACTCCTCTCTCTCTCTCTCACCCACCCACCCACCGGGCGGGCGACTCCACAGACGAGTTTTCTCGAGGCCTCCCTTTGACGTTCAGAGGGCCAGAACGGGCCGTCCGTGCCGATGGGGGAGTCAGATAAGGGGGCCCGCGCCGTTGTTTGGCTACCCCACCCCCGCCGCCAGCGCCTCGCGCCGTGCTCCGCGTTCGGCTCCGTTGGGCGTCTATCGCCGTTGCGTGTTTGCGACGGATTATGGGCTCGGCCTTCCAGCACAAAGGGGGCTGCGGGCCGCCAGGCCTGATTACCGGGGGACCCGGCGTGGGAGGAAGGGGTGGGTGAGGGAGGGACCGGCGGTGGTTGGCTGGAGGTAGACCCCTGGAGAACCCAGGGAGACGCGAACCCCATGGGCCTGCACGCACGGTTCCATCTCCCCGTGCAAACGTCCCCTTCGCACGTGGATCCTGAGATTGGAGTCGCGGTGCCTCCGACCGGCGGTAGCGGCACACAATCGTTTTTTCCTTTGTTCGTCATGTGTACGATAATAACGGTGACAATGAACAACAACCACGACATAAGACAATCGATAACGACGATTTATTTCAAGATGCTGGGCATGGCTGTATTTAAGTTTGAGTCGAGCTAGGCCTCCCCTAGCTCGACTCAAACTCAAATGAGTACCTGGTGTGGTGTGTGAAATCATCGGCACTGGGGAGATAAAGGCGGCCGGGCGTGGTGTTTGGCCACCCACCACCTTGTGCACCTTTCCAGCCATCATAGGTGCTCGCTAAACAGCACTTGCCCCAACAGTCTGTTAAAGGCTATACGGGGGATCTTTGTCTTTGTGTGTGTAGCTGGGTGTGTTTATGAGTGCAGCTAGGTGTACGCGTGTGTGTGTGCGTGTGAGTGTGTGTGTGTGAATGGGGCTGGCTGGGTGGTCTGATGGGCAACACCTGAGATAATAACTTCTCAGCCCGGCCTAGCCGTGAGCCCCCAGGGTATAGAGCAACGGGGGTTCGCTGCATGGGGAGGGGGAGGGAGCCGGGGTGGGGCCGAGGCTGGGAAGGGTGCGATTGGTTTCTGAGTGCATTTGTGTACGTGTGTGTGTGTGTGTCTATGCATCAGCGTGTGTGTGTGTGTGTCTATGCATCAGCGTGTGTGTGTGTATGTCTATGCATCAGCGTGTGTGTGTGTGTCTATGCATCGTCGTGTGTGTGTGTGTCTATGCATCAGCGTGTGTGTGTGTGTCTATGCATCAGCGTGTGTGTGTGTGTGTCTATGCATCAGCGTGTGTGTGTCTATGCATCAGCGTGTGTGTGTGTGTGTCTATGCATCAGCGTGTGTGTGTGTGTGTCTATGCATCAGCGTGTGTGTGTGTGTGTCTATGCATCAGCGTGTGTGTGTGTCTATGCATCAGCGTGTGTGTAGATGCTGGGGAGCGGTAGTGTCGTGGTTAGTTGCACTGCCTTATGAACCCAGCCAATATCGGTGACAAATATGTGGGCCGGTCCTGTGCCTTCTCCAGGTTGACTCCGCATCAAATGGGTACACGAGAGGCAGTTCTAGACTTACGAATGGGTTACGTTGGTGAGACCCGTGCGTAAGTGGATTTGTTTTAATCATGCATACGCTCAGTGGTTATAACATGTGTTATGGTTTTAAGAGAAAAGGCAAGCATTGTTAAACTCACGAAGAAAAATAAATAAAACATGAAATAAAGTAACACGAAAAGATAAAAAACACTTATGCTGGCTTGCTTGTCAGCACGGGGCGCTGTGCATCATGCGGGATGTTGGGATTCCTCACATCTCGCGAGGGATCTCGACGTTCGTAAGTCGGACGGTCGGAGACTCGGAGACTCGGAGACTGCCTGTACCTGGAGCGCGCTCCGTCTCCCCGCCGATCCCGGCGCTCACGCTCCCTCCCTCCCCCCGTGCTCCCAGGCCGCCGTCGTCATCGTCTTCAACCTCGCCATGATGCTGCTCGTCTTCCCGGCGGTGCTCGCCCTGGACCTGCGAAGACGTCGGCAAAACCGCATGGACTTCCTCTGCTGCCTGCCCAGGTGAGAGCATCGCCGTGACCCGCGGCGTCGCGCGCGTCACCGTTACCGGGCCGCTCGCTGCCGTGCCGGATCGCGTCGGTTTAACCGGGAAGAATCCGCCCGGAGGTTTTGGGGAGTCTTGTCGTATCGTGGGATTTGCTTGTGCTGTCGGAGCTGGCACACCCACAAAGGGTTGGGCTGACGTTTCTACGACGGTCCCAACCGCATGCCAACGTTGGCCCAACGTCGCGTGTCTACTGGGATATTATCTCGAACAAGCACTTCATAGCCGGTCCCACCGTAGAACCGGCGAGATTTAAACTAATTATCGACGTAAACGTTCGAGAAACTTCTCACGTGGTGTCATTGTTGCCTGCGCCCCGAGACTGCTCGCAAAACCAAAAAATGTCGGGCTGTGGAAAAAAGAAAGATGGGAAGGAAAGAGAAGCGGCGTGATTAAACGCAGCGCAGACAGCGAGTTGCTTGCGTGGCTTTCTCTGCGACATTTGCATGGCGGGCCTGTGGCCCGTGGAATGTCCCGCGAGCGCTCGGGGGAGGAGGGGGATGGGGAGGTCACGAGGGAGCGCGGCAATTAGGCCGAGGTTTCCCCGGAGCCGACACGAACGTGGCTGCGGCTGGAGCCTCGGCAGGGACATGCCGTTCGTTGTGCGGTTGCAGCATCCACAGTTTAAAATTAAACACATTTTCCAACTATTCTATACATGTATAAACACAGGCAGAGGTCCCCCCCCCTCTGTAGGCATGCAGACTACCCGGGGCAAGTGCATTTTGCGCGGAGCTATTAAGGACAGTACAGCACGTGAGAGTGCGTGCATGAGATGGTGCGTGCGTGAGATGGTGCGTGTGCGAGCGAATGGCAGCACGAGCTCGCACCGACCGCACGAGCCTAACACGCGAGCCTGCACGCTTGTCCCCACAGCCCGTGCGCCGATCGCGTGCTCACGGTGCAGCCCGGCGAGTACCGGGAGGAGCACGGCAGCTTGGGCTCCCACTCCTCCTCGTCCACGACCACCACCGCCAGCGGCGGCAGCAGCGGCGGCACCGACGCCGCCAGCGTCGTGGCCCCGCACGCCGTCGCCGCCACCACCGCCTCCTTCCCGGTGCACGGCCACGCCACGGCCTTCACCATGCGCGCCACCGTGACCGCGGTGGCGCGCTGCGACCCGTCGGGCCAGCACGTCATCACCGTGCTGCCGGCGGCCGCCCCGCGCGTGACGGCGTACGCCGTCCCGGTGGAGGTGGCGGCCGCGCCGTCGCCGTGCTCGCGCCACTCCTCGTGCTCCTCCTCCGCCGCCGCGCCCGGCCCGGACGCCTGCACCTCGACGCGCGACCTCATCGCTCAGGTGGAGGAGGCCGCGGGGGCCGCCGGGGCCGGGGCGCCGGCGCCGGGCGGGGAGTGCGGCGACTGCTCCCCGCGAGCGACCGGGTGCCTGGGGAAGTGGACGGCGTCGGAGTTTGCGCGCGACCGCTACGCTCCGCTGCTGCTGAGGACGCCCGTCAAGGTGAGCGGCAACCCGCGGCGTCCGCCGCTCGTACGCGGCCGCCTCGTTTCGTCCTCGCGGTTCGTCTGCGGCGCCGCCGCCGCCGTCGAGTTGCTCGGTCCGCGCATTCAACCGTCCTGGTCGCGGCGCGCAGGTGGTGGCCGTGGTGTCGTCGCTGGCGCTGCTCGCTACGTGCCTCTACGGGACGACGCTGGTGCGCGACGGCCTCGATCTCATGGACGTGGTGCCGCGGGGCACGCGCGAGCGCGCCTTCCTGGAGGCGCAGGCGCGGCACTTCTCGCTGTACGCGGTGCACGTGGTGACCACGGCCGGCGTGGACTACCCCCGCGCGCAGGCGCAGCTCTACGCGCTGCACGAGCGCGTAGGGCGCGTGCGGCACGCCGTGCGACACCGCGACGGCGCCATCCCCAAGATGTGGCTCCACTACTTCCGCGACTGGCTGCTTGGTACGGCCCGCCCCGGCTCTTGTAGGGCCTCTTCCCCGTTCCTCCTTACGCACACAGCACCGCACGGCACCGCACACGGCACCGCACGGCACCGCACCGCACGGCACCGCGCCGCGTCACCTGGCGCTCGCCGGGGAACGCGAGGGAAGAGAGCGAGGATGTTTTAGGGTCGATGTCGCTCGCGCCGCCGTGAGGTCCTCGTGGCGTTGGCGGAGGCGGTGGTTGTTGGAGCCACTCCGCTGTTCAACGCGGGGCTCCGATAGCGGCGGGGGTTGGGGGAGCGGCGTGGGATAGGAAGCGGTGGGGAGCGGGGAGTGGTAAGGTGTAGGGGGTGGCGAGCGGGCGGGGAGGGGAGGGCGCGCCCTCGGCAGGTGCTCGGCAGCGCTTCTCAGGAACACTGCAGCTGCGACGGCCAAACGGCGTTTGTGCAGAAGAACAATAAAAACGAAAAAAAACAGAGAGTAAGAAAAAAAACTCATCGCCCTCCCTCTCCTCCCGACCCACCTCGCACCGCTCAGATGATGGCAAAAAAAACTCCTTAGAGCTGTAGAGGGAAAGGAGAGAGAGAGAGAGAGAAAAAAAAGGGCCGGGTCTCACAGCTGAGGCTGCGGCTGGCGGTCGGTCGGTAATGAAGTGAAGATGTGAACATGCGAGCCTGGCTCCGAGCCAGCCCGGGCGATCATCGCCCCCCCGCGACACGAGCCCCACGTCTCCCCCCCCCAGCGGCGCGGGGGCGGCCGGGAATTTGCGCTCGAATCTCGCGATGTGGAATTCCGCTCTGCGCCGTGCAGAGCGCGCCGCCGTGAGCCTGGCGGTGGGGGGGGTGGGGTGCGTGGATGGGGGGGTGGGGGCCGTGGGTGGGGGGGGGGATGAAGGAGGGCGGCCGCGGGGTTGAGGGTGTCGAGTCGGGGCGCAGCGCAGGGACGGAAATTTGGCAGCGAGGGCTTTAAGCCAGGAAACACGAGCAGAGCTCCTGTCAGCCTCCAAACACGTCCAGCGGAGTGACAGCCCATAAAATAGGGGGTAGCAGTAGTCTCGGCCTAATGCGGGGAGTTAGCAGCACTCTACATGGCTCTGCCACTACCAAGTTTGGGGGGTAGCGATGGGGCGGCCGCGACGTCTCTTCATTTGCGCACGTGGCTACCGCCGTGCATTGTGACGCGAGTGGATGTTAGGCAGCTGGTGAGATGGCTTGGCCGTACCAATGATCGTCGGTGCTCCTGCGAAGAGGCAAGGTTTGTCTCTGGATGACTCTTCGGCGGTCATTCATTGCCCACGTTCGCCACAAACGCCGTCGCTCGTGTTTTGCTCGTTGAACGGCTCGTCGCGCCTCAAGGTGGCGACAAGAGAGAAGCGACACGACACCGCAGCGCCTGCATCAGCGTTGGCGCATTGGTGCGCGCGTGGTGTAGCGCTTACAATCCCAGCAACCCAAGTTCACGCGAACGGCAGACGTCGGTGCCGAGCCGTGCCAGCCTTTATAAGCACTCGCTAACGGCACTTGCCCCAACAGTCTGTGACAGACTACACGGGGGGGGGGGCACCTTTGTCTTTGTATTTACGCGCGTGTGTGTGTTTGTGTGTGTGCCGCCACCCCAGACCTGCAGAAGGCGTTTGATGCGGAGTGGGCGTCGGGGCGCATCTCGCGCGAGAGCTGGCGCAACGGCTCCGAGGCGGCCGTGCTCGCCATGCACCTCATGGTGCAGACGGGCGACCGCGAGCAGCCAATCAACTACGGCCAGGTGCGACCGCCCGCACGCGCGCACCCACGCGACGCTCCCCAGGCGGTGGCGCGGACACACCGAGCGTGCCCGGTGCCCGCCGGGCGCGGGGTGCGGGCGCCACAAGCGGAGGCAGCTGTTTCAACGAGCTCTTGTATTTAGTTTCAACGGTTATTAGCGCAATTTACAGTTCTTCTGTTGAACGCGGTGCCACGGTGAAATCTTTGCATTCGTATCTTATTATTATTGCCATCGCTGAACACCGATCGCTGGATTCTCGCGTTTCCGTTAAAGCGGCCTTGCCGAATAAACGACACCTTTCCTTTTGAGTTCCAAAGATCCCACCGTAATCCGGGGTAATGCCTCTCCAAATCCTGCAAGAAAAAAAACAAACCACTCGAGCCGTGGGCGGCCTGCGGGGAGGAGAGAGCGGATCGGGTTTGATTTCCGCGCCGCGGTTTGAAAGCCCTCTCCCCCGCGCCCTTTCAGTGGCTCGGAACCACGGGGAAATTTACCGGTGCCGCGCTGCCGGGATCGTGGTGGGCGCACCGCATCGGCGATCGTGGGAAAGGCAGGGTGAGGGGTGGGGGGCAAGGTTTGGGGGGGAAGGGAACAGGAGAGCCGAGCAGTTACCATTAAGCCCCCCCCCCCCCTTCGCACTTTTTGCCAGCCGACCCGGTTTGCCTAAGAGCAGCCCCCCCGGGTGCTCCAACGGGTGTCTTTAATTAGTGAGTCGAGGTGGGAAGAAGGTGGACGGAAGGTGAACTCAGCGACTCGTTTGGGAGAGGCACACACGGGACGCGTCTGCCCCTCGCTCACGATCGGGTCGTGTGCACAAAGCGGGGGGTTGCCACCTGTTCTGAATTTCCTCGTTCGGAGGTATCCAAAAAGAGGGACATTAAGTCCCGGTTGTTATCAGTTGCGTAACGATAATGCACCGCTCCAGACAATGATGCATTCGCATGTAGGTACTGTGCGATATTCTTTTCTCCACAGTTCAGTTGTTTTGTGTAGTGCTGTGTCAGTTGCTAATTTTTGTACGCGTCTCAATTATTTTTATTGCGCCCGCAACTCAACCGCGACTCCGCCGCTCGCCCCCCCGCGCTTTCGCCCGCAGCTGCCGGCGAAGCGGCTGGTGGGCTCCGACGGGATGATCGACCCGGACACGTTCTACGAGTGCCTGACGGCGTGGGCCAGCAGCGACCCCCTGGGCTACGCCGCATCGCAAGCGGCCATCCACCCGCAGCTGCCCGAGTGGATCCACGACAAGTACGACTCGGACCCCGAGGGCATGCACAGTAAGAGACGTACGCACGCGCACACGCACGCATGCACGTCTACGTATGATAGCAATGTCAATTATCCAGAAAAGCTTTGCCGAGTCTCGGGACTCGTCGTCAGGAGCGTCCTGCATTGAGATGCTGAGCCAGTGAGGCAGTGTTTTGCTGGGCCGAGTTTCACGAATCTCCACGTGATCCGACCAACCGTTGCCTCCGAAGGGCTGGAACGCGTGTGCGGGCCACCGCGTCGTTTAACGAGCATCGCGCCGGAGGTGCACGCTCGCGTGCTCCTCACAGCGCTTCGGAAGGCCTGTGCGGGCACCTTGCCACGAGGTTGTGGCGCGTCCCTATTAGGCTCGACGCTGAACCCGGGGGCAAGTGTGGGCAGGGTGCCCGCACGCGTCCCAAAACATCCCCCCCCCCCCATCCCCTCCGTGCTCTCCTCCGTCACAACAATTCAATTTATTACATTTGATCTTTTTTCTTAAAACGTTTTCTCCGGTTTTTTTTGCGTGCGGATTGTGTTTCCTGCGGCTTGTATTGGGTATAAATTGAGTCTTTAACGAACGCGCATGTGGGATGCACATGTAGCGGGCGACATTTTTTCTTTTTTCGACTGTAAGAGGAGCGGGCGTTATAATTCCATTATGCGATGCACGTGTGGCATTTTGTTTAAAGCGAAACGTAACGGAAAAAAACAAAAACGCCCGACGTAACGCCGAGGCCAGCGCCTCACCCGGCAGGTCACCCATGGGCCCCCTGATCGGTCGTCTCTGCCCCAAAATCGAAAACCCCCCAAAATTTCAATCAAACGGACTGGACACGCTTAGTCATCCCACCCCCCTCCCCCCCTTCCGTGGTGAGGGTTACGGAGCCACGCGGGCGATCATCACGGCTCGTACGTTCCGTGATGTAGCCGGCCCGGTTTAATGCCGGCTGCTTTTGGTGGAAGGGCCCTCGGTGTCTGGTTTAAAGTTCAGGGTCTGTTTTCAGCGGGGATGTTTTTAAGTTCCCGCTTTGAATGTTACAGTCTCTCTTTAATAAGGAAATGTTGGATTAATAAGAAGTTCTCGGTCGCAGGGGAAGAAAAGAAACTAAATTAAAGGCCGATTTTTTTTTTCCGCCCCCACCCGTGAAAGGTCAGCTGGAGGAAAGAATGCACAATCGCAGCCGAAATTAAAGTGGTTCAATAACGCGGCACGACGCACTGGGGAAAACTATCCCTGTGCAGTCTTGAGCGGTTCCTCCCGAGCCATGGTCTTAGCCGGGGCCAGAGTTGAGGCCTCACGTTGTTAAAAAAAAACACACGAAAAAAACTCTTCCGATCGCTGGATAGGGTTGCCGACCGTCCGGTGCTCGACCTGACTATCCGGTTTTGGACCACGCTGCCGTGTCCGGAAATCAGAAGTTCCTTTTTTGTGGCACGTATTCGACGGGCAAGGTGTGTATCACCGCGCACGTTTTGACGGGACTGGTTTCAACTGGTCCACAGTGTGATATTTAAACCGATCGGATGACGGATTGAAACATAATGTCTTACTTGGAGGGATGTAATTTAGATCATGCGTTTGTTTATTTACTTATTTATTCGTAACCCATGAGTGACACAAATCACGCTGCGATAGAATGACGGCGTTCCTTCAAGCGGTCAGCGCGTTTCCCCCCTCCCCCCCCCCAATATTTTCCTGTTTTTTGGGAAGTAAAAAAGTTCGTTACCCTCCCGTCGGGCCCTTAATTATCCATCGCGATCGTTCCGCACGCGCGCGCCGCTCTGCGACACGCACGTGCACGCGTACCTCTGCGCGAGCGAGGGAGACCAGAAAAAAACTTAAGGTTATTGACAAGTGCGGATGTGTTTTAGATTACGGGATCGGAAAAGCCCCATCGATTCGGAAGGGGGTGTGCTTGGCTACTGTGAGTGTTTTGGCACCTGTTCCCACCACACGGTGGTCCGGTGGCCGGGGAGGAAAACGCGGGCGGCTGGAGGGATTAGCGGGGAGGAAGGGCGAGGAGGGGCTGGTGGAGGAGAGGGGGGGGGGTTGCGTTTGAGGGAGGGGGGGGGGCAAAAAAGGGGGCCCGGCTGCTAAGTGAGGCCCATGGTGTTGCTCCCAGAACGCACCAGGGATTTCGTGGTCGAAAATCAATCACGGCTTTTTGGGCTCGGGCAAAGTGAGGCAGGGAGTTTGGCGGAAGAGACTCGTGTGTAATTGAGCAGGCTGCGATGAATAGAGAGAGGGAGGGAGGGAGAGAGGGGGAGGGTGGGTGGGTGGGTTGAGCCTGGGTTCCGAGGTGAGCTGCCTCGGGCTAGCTGTTTTCCATCCCTCTCCACTGGACACTTGCCAGAACCCGCGATGCTAATGAAAATGTATGGGCCAGCACCGCAGCAGGCAGTGGCCCTGCCTGGCCTACCAGTGTGGGCTTGTTTTGTACGCAGATTTTTATCAGGCTATTTTACTTTGCTCCTTGTTCATCTTGGTCATTTACATTCTTTTTCATTTCATTTCGACGTGCCGATGACCAATGCTCGGCCACTGTCAAGAAATTCCACGGCTGCCCCCCTCCCCCGACCCCACCCCCTCTTTAAACGAAGCCGTAAAAACGCGCGGGCGGGCGGGCGAGAGGGCGTCTGTTCCGTAGGGCGGCGTCCGTTCAGGTCTTCCCGTGGCTGGCCGTGACGCGTAACAGAGGCCGTTAAACGCGGGGCCCGCGGCGAGAGCCCCCGCGGCACGACGATGAAAGCCGGGAGCGGCTGGCGGGGGGGGGGGTCACGGCGCCGCACGCCCCGCATCGGTCACTGCCTCCTCGCGTCACCGCACACATCCTTCATCCCTCTCCAAAGCGCCATCACCGGCAGCACCGGCGGAGGAGAGCCGCGACGCCGAGGGACTCTCGCGCTACCGCGTCCCCCGCCCCGCCCCGCCCCGCCCCAGATGGGGGCCTGTGGACGATCTGAGCGGCCGTGTTGTAAAATAATCAAGTTGTTTCAAGACAGAAAAAAATTGTTCAAATATCTTCATCTTTTGTTGCGAGTCGGTCTGTTGGTCACAACGCTCTGTTGAGTGATGTTCTTCGTTCGGAGATGAGCACGGCCTCTCCCTGAATGCAATGAACCCAGGCACCTATTGCGTTGATGATGACCTATGTACAAACGACGAAATTCGACCGAGGTAAAATTTTTTTTTTACAAAAAACCTTAGTTACGCTGATCGCATGGGGTTTTAAAAATGTCTCGAGTCTCTTCCCACTCCTCTAATTTGTTTGAGTTGAGAGTTGGGAACGACTTTGTGAAATGAAGAAAAATGTAGGCAACTTGACCCCCCGCGCCTTTTGTTGTGTCCACATCGGTCACTCGACTATTTGAGTCGGGAGCAATCGAACCGACTCAGATTCATTTTTAACTCAACTAAATTTGATCACGATCAATTGCCGCGTCGCTTTAACGCAAAGCAATTTCACCGTAAGCAATTTTAGTTTTTTTCTACGTGGACACGCAAACGCAAATCTGCCTGCTCTATAACCCGCGACGGTCGGGAACGACACCTAACGATGTCTTGTCCTGTCCCGCCCTCCCCTGTGCCAAACCGCAGTCCAGGCGGCGGCGCCCATCGAGTACACCCACTTCTCCTTCTTCCTGGGCGGCCTGCGCGAGACGCCCGACTTCCTGAGCGTCATCGAGACGGTGCGCGCCATCACCGAGGAGTTCAGCGAGCGCGGGGTGCCCTGCTACCCCAGCGGGCTGCCCTTCCTCTTCTGGGAGCAGTACGTCGGCCTGCGCCAGTGGCTGCTGCTGTCCGTGGTGCTGGCGCTAGCGGCCGCCTTCCTCGTCACCGCCGCCTGCCTGCTCAGCCCGTGGACGGCCGCCATCGTGGTGAGTCAGCCGCTTGGCCCGCTCGTTGCATTCTCGCCCCCGGCCAGAACGCCGAGCGCCGGGCCGGAGATCAACTGCCGCCGCCGTCGGACGGCACCTTCCCGCACGACGGTGTCGTCGGTGCCAGATTCGAACTCGGGCTTTCGGCTGCGCCGGTTCGGTGTCTCTCTCAGGCCTGAGCCACCTGGTCCACTTCCAGCTGAGCGTATGTTTTTCATATGCAAATCTGTTGCGTGTTAATTCACTCGATCGGAAAATATCCGGGCGCGTTAATCCGTTCGGAGGCGGTCTGGCAGTTGCACGAGTCTATCCACGCTCGCTCAGGACGGCTCATTCGCACGCTGTTTTGTTTTCGTTGCGTGTGCATTGGTGGTTTTTTCGTACAAAAAAATTATTGGAATCCGCACCGCTCATGAACCACGGCGATGGTCTCTCAACGGCGCAGCCTTGAGACACGGGGGGGAGGACCCGGAGCCGAAGGGATTGTGTTTGTGTAAAACCAGCGTTGAGCCCTTGCACGTCTCTCTCTCTCTTTCTCCTTGCTCGCCGGCCACCGCCACTAGCCCACAGCGAGCCCCCCGTAACCCTCTTTGTTGCTACAGCTTGCACTTTTTAGTGGCACGGAAACGGAACTTTTTTTCTCCAAACAATTACCTGGTTGAAATGCGGCAAAATTTCCCTTTTTTTTCGCGAACGAAGCTTAGAGTCCATAAAGCTGCCCGGAGGTTTAACGTTGGGTGCACGGTTAATACTTCTTGGTCATCGCCGGGTAAATTATGATGATTCCTTCTGGCCAGGGGTCCGCCACAGCTGTGGGTGCCGCGAGGAGTTATCGTTGCGCTTTTGACGACGTCGAGATGGAGATCCGTGTTAGTTCCTCCCAACCCCTCCTCCTCCTGTTTGTAAATTCATGCCAAAGAAGAGGTCATGTTTTTGTCTAGAGGGGGGGGGGGGGGTGTGCATGAGTGTGTGCGTGGGTGTGTGTGTGTGTGGTAGTGTAGCGGGCTAGATTGCTGCGCTACAAACCCGGAAACGCGAGTTCGACTCCCGCTCACGGCCAACATCGGTGACGATTACCTGAACCGGTTCTAGGTCGACTCAGCCTGAATGAGTACCTGGTGCGGTGTGTAAACATCGCCACTGGGGAGACAAAGGCAGTCGGGCGTGGTGTTGGCCATCCACCCCCGGCCTTCATAGGTGCTCGCTAACAGCACTTGCCCCAAGAGTCTGTTACGGCTATATGAGGGATCTTTGTATTTGTCTTTGTGTGTTACGGGGAGTAGTGGTTCACACGCAGTGCTGCAGATCCACTGATCTGCGTTTAAATTCCCAGCAACAGCCAACTTTTGTCCTAGGCCTCTGCTAGGATAACTCGACCATTCCAATGAGTGCCTGGTGCACCTTGTAAATGTCATCCTTGGAGAGACAAAGGTTGCCCCGGGCATGGCGCTTGCCATGCCACCCCCTCGTTTGCTGTCGGCCTTAATAGGCGCTCACTTACCCACAGCACTGGCCCCAACAGCCTGTTCATGGCTATACGGGGGTCTTTGTTATTAGAGAGAGGATGCAGGCATGTGTGGGATGACAAAAAGGGTTGTGTGTGATAGGAGTGTGTGTGCATGTGAGAGCGAGCGATGGGAGAGAGCGGATGTCTTTGTGTAGGTATGAGGGATGAGGTAGGTTGTGTATGTGTGTGGGATAAAACAGGGGGTATGTGTGTGTGTGTGGGGAGGAGGAGAGCGTGTGTGTGTATGTCTGTGTATGAGTAATGGGAGAGGCTGCGGGGTGTGTGTGTGGGAGATCGCGCGCGTGTGTGTGTGTGTCAAATAGGGGGTTGTTTGTGGGAAGACAGAGGCCACGTGTGTGTGTGTGTTTGGGATGGGAGGTGTTTGCGGCAACGAAAAATAGAAGTATGTGCGCGCGCACGTGTATGTCAAACAGGAGGGCGAGTGTGTGTGGGATGACAGGGGGTGCGCGCGTGTGTGTGGCATGGGAGCGCAGGGAGGGCGCTGTGCGTGTGTGGGATTTCGGAGATCGTTTGTGTTTTTGTGGGGTAGTGGACACACACACAGGAAGTGACATCATGGCACTGGTATGCCACGGCCTGGCAGCTAACTGAGCGTGCGAGTGGCTTAAGAGAACGGAATCGGGGGGATTAAACAGCGCCTTGAAAATGTGGAATTAAAAACGACATTCCTGCCGGAGAGGGCTTTGAAAACTCAGCTCGGGTTGTTGACGTCCAGTGTCGGATGGGAAAACCGGCAAACATTGGGCAGGCCATCGGTGGAAGTGGAAGTGTAACCGTGATGCCGGAGCTGTTGCCGCAGTGCTAATCTACAACGAAATTGCCGACACTCAGGAGATGGGTTGGTAAATGAATAACGGGCAGCGGCGATGCGTGAAGTTGGGAAGCGCACACTGCTACTGCCATACGACTATCTCCTGTCCCGAGCTCACAGGGCACGCAGAGGTCAGGGCGGGTGCCAGGGGTTAAATATTCCATGGGGAGGGGGGGGGGACTATGGGGGGGCGGCGGGGGGGGGGGGAGGCTGAAGTTGTGAGTGAGTTGGTAGGAATGGGGAGGGCGAGGATGTTGGTGACCCCGAAAGAAAAATGCGGAGCGAGATCCGGACCAATTCCTCGTCATGTTTTGCACAGCAGAAGGCCCCTGCCTGTGTCGGGGAGCAGGCCCGATTGGTTAAAGGGATACCCCCCACCTCCTCCTCCTCGCCACTTAACCCACCCCCCTCCACATGCTCAACTTCCCCCTCCTTCCGCACACCCCCGCACACGCCCCCACCCCTCCTGTGTAAAACTGCAAAGGCCATTTGCTGGTCCACGACCCCACTGTGGAGAGAGGGGCCCTCACACCCCCCCACCCCCATCACGTGGGGCGAGGCGGAGAGATTCAGACAGGAACAGGTGGCCCTTCTTAATTTGTAAACAACGCGGGGTAAAAAAAAAACCATCAAAATGTGGCTGACGGCCGATGTGAGTGAGCAGCTCTCACCGTGGCAGGGAGAGGGTGAAAGGGGTCTTGGGAGGTGAAGCCGCCTCGGAATGAGCATGGCCGCCGTGACCCCTATGCGACCCCAGTGGCTCAAGTCGATGGGTTCAGACGAGACGTTTCGCAGCCACTTCCGTCGTCGTGGTTGGCGAAACGTTGGTGGCGCCAATTTTGTTGGGTGACTCATACGTTGAATCAGGGGGGGGGGGGGGGGTGGGCCGAGTTTTAAAATGAGTGGAGTTTCACACAATTCACTTCTATTGATCATGTACACTGAACGATCCCAGCACAACGTGCCCTACCGGTGTCCGCCCTTGTCAAACAACTCACCCAGTCTTGGAGAGAGCAATATGGCCGCAGCCTGGGCCTACAAAGCAGTTTGATGAATTGTCACGACCCAGGGCCTCGATTCCATTTCAGGCTCCACCCGTCGTTGTCGCGTAATTCCCTCGTTGTGCTTGTGCTCATGTGCACAATAATTTGCGAGCGAATTGCATAGGCAGAAAATAACGGATTCTCTCACGATTCAATGCGTGTATCGTCGCCGTGGTGTTAAACGATGCGCCGTCGCGTCGCTGCTGCCCCGTCGTCGCCGCGACTCCAACGTCTGACCGCTCGCTCCGTGTGCTGCTCCTCCGCTCCAGGTACTCGTGCTGGCGGCCATGACGGTGGAGCTCTTTGGCGTCATGGGCTTCCTGGGCGTGAGGCTGAGCGCCAGCCCCGTGGTGACCCTCGTGCTCTCCGTGGGAATCGGCGTTGAGTTCACCGTGCACACCGCGCTGGTGAGTGCCCGCCCCCCCACCCCCCCGCCGCCCCACGCCCTGCGCCCCTTACTCTGACTTCCCCTCACCCCACTCCACCACCGTATTTTACTCATTTGGGGTTTTCTATTAAATTTTCTTTCGCAAGTTACTCGATCGGAATTGCGCAATGCAACCATCGCCCCCTACCAGCAAAAACTAGGCAGGACCCTCCTGATAACAACAATACTACGTCAATAAAATTGCAACCTGTGCCTTCATACATAGCTTAGCAATGATTTCCCGAGCCCTGAGAGTTCGATATAATTGTTGTGATTTGGTGCTGTAACGGCCTACGTAGACTTTCGGCGTGAGTGGTGCTCAAGGCGAGATGCTACGGCGGTCGGCACGACGGCCGAGGGGTGACCGTAGCGAGGGGCTGTTCTAGCGAGCCGGCTATGCCGTAACGGATAGGTGCGTGTGCGGGTCGAACGGCTCGTTCCAGGAGGCCCCCTCCCCCCCGTGTGTGACGGGCGCCGTCTGGCCTCCTCCTCACCCTCCTCCTCACCCTCCTCCTCACCCTCCACCTCCTCCCCGCCGGCGTAGGCCTTCACGAACGCGACGGGCGGCCGCGACCGGCGCGTGGCGGCGGCGCTCGAGAAGACGCTGGTGCCCGTCCTCCACGGCGCCGCCTCCACCTTCCTGGGCGTCGTCATGCTCGCCGCCTCCGAGTTCGACTTCATCGTCCGGTGAGCGAGGACGCCGCACGCCGCGTGTGCGCGGGCGGGCGCGTTGTTTTCGCGTTGTTTTATTTTTATTTAGCCCGGTGAAACCTCAAGAGACCGGGGAGAATGTAGGTTTTGCAAGTAGTGACCTGCGGCGATCGCTGGAGCGGGCGCTGGTTCAGGAATTCCTACGAGCCCCTCCAGCTCGCCCACCCGCACAATATTTCGGCCCCATTTGCAGCGTTCCCCTCGGGGGGGGGTACCGGTCAACTGCCACTCACTACAGTCTAGAAGTGACCTGGGGAATATTTCGTTGAGAAATGATCCTCAACTGCCGGGCCAAAGCGACACATTTTTGGACTTACACGGGCGTCGAAAATGCAACCACGTCTCAAGGGCTCGGCACAAACAGCGGGGAACCCAAACAGAGTGTCCACGAGTTGAAGAGGGTTTTTTGCTTTTTTTAAGGATTTTTTTTATTCAGCCATGAGACAACAACAAGGAGGAAGGAAGCGAAAGAGCAGAGAGGGAAAGCGGACGGCAGCGTGACGACGTGGTACGGCGCGAACGAAGACTCTGGTTACAAATCGCGACTTGCAACCAGAGTAGACCTTCGTCCGCCCACTGGTGGTGGCTAACGTTCACGGGCCTCTCGGCTTCTCCGTTCAGTGTTTTCACGTCTGCAACGGGACGCGAAGCTCGCGTAAAATAAATAAACAAACAAAGGGACAGGAGCCACCTGTGGCAGACGCATCACGGCGCGCGTCCTGGCAAGCGCAGAGAGACTCTGTTAAAAACATTTCACCCCGGGTTGCACGGGACAAGCATCTAAACGGCGGACGGCACGACCAAAGGGCGTCCTCCAACCCGGCGGTGGACATCTGTGAAACTGCTGGGACGTCTGTGAAAAAATATCTTTGTGGCTCATCGGATTCCTCCAGTGCAAATAAATATTCTGTTTCTGATTATGTAACACCGCGTACGAGCGTAGAGGCACGCGGTCGCGGGCCGCGTCGCGTCCACGTGCGGCGGCAGGCGGCAGTCAGAATCAGAATCTGTATTTATACTGGAGGAATCCGATGAGCTATGAAGCTCTTTTTCACATGGGTCAATGGGTCGCGTCGCCGTGCGCGCGTAGGGTTTGATGTGCCGAGGTAATGGGTGGACGTTAATTTGTCTGCGCGTAGCAACTACAAAAACACTGCCCCCCCTCCCTGCCTGCCATCGTGACGTTTCCTGCGTTTAGCTGCACGTGTGCGATCGTTGTTGGTGTAGCCTTACAATGGCTCGAGGGTGCGTGTGGGTGTGTGTGTATGGGGGATCTTTGGCTTTGTGTGTGTGGGTGTGGGAAGCATGTGGTCTGTGTGTGTGTGTGTTTGTGTGTAGGGTGTGTGCATGGGGGGTCTGTGTGTGTGTGTGTTTGTGTGTGTGCATGGGGGGTCTGTGTGTGTGCGTGTTTGCAGCCGGGCGCCGTTCTGGCCACCCACTCCCTCGTGTGCCACAGTGCCGCCCTTCCTAGGTGCTCGCTAACAGCACTTGCCCCAACAGTCTGTTAAGGCTATACAGGGCATCTTTATCTTGCATGTGGACGATGCGTGCGTGCGTGTTGCGGTTCGTCAACGCTGATGAGAAATCGAGGGTTGCCTGTTGGGTGGCGGCCGCGGCTGCCACCGATGCCCCCCCCCCCCCCCCGCGTGTCCCTCCCCGTCCGCGGCTCGGCGTGTGATGTCCGGCGCAGCTGCCGGGGCGTATCTCCGACTTGTCGCGTTGCTCCGCGGAGCCCGAGGGAAGCAAACGAACAGCCGGGGGCCCCAGCGTGCTCGCCCACGAAGGGCAACGGGGGGGGGCGGGGGGGGCGGGGTGGGCCCCCTACCTCGCCATGCGGCACTAAACGCAAACGCGGCGCACGTTTGTTTCACACATTAGCCGGACGGGTTAGGGCCGCCCGCTCGCAAGGGGGTCCCCCCCCTTCCACCACCCCCCGCCATCCCCCATGGCGTGTGGGGCCCCATGCTGGGTGCCGATGGGTGGAGCGAGGTTTGGGGGTTAAGGCACGCCGGTGTGAGAGACCCCCTCCACCACCCCCACCGATGTGTTTTTTTTTGCGTAACGCTTTCCAACCGGGGGGTTGAGAGTGTTCAGGCGTTAGCTCTGTCCCGTCCATCTGTAACCTGGGGGCAACGATAAGTCGTATTAATGCTTCCGACGATTAAAAAAACGCTTTTGTGGAAACCCACACGGCATCGATTTAAGTTGTATTTGGAGATTTTGTTTTGAGCGACTGGAACTCGCGCAAAGCTCCCGCGTCGTCACGGGGTGATTACCGGCGGCACCGGTGCTGGTGGTGCCCATCTGCCCTGGTTACCCCGCGCGCTTTCACCACTCCGCGTGAACAGATTCTTTAAAAACAATTTTAAACCCCAAAATTCATCAACTCCAGGAAACTTCGCTGTCCTTCAGAGACATTCGCTGGTCTCCAAAAAAAACGTAAACAAATTCCCACCGTGGACTCCACCGAGCGAACGAGCGGAGCAGAGGGGGGGGGGTATGGATGAGGCCCGCGCACACCAAGCGGTGTCCAGCCAAGCGGTGACCCCCTGACCCCCCCGCGCACCAACCCGCGGGCCCCCCCCCCCCGCCCCCCCCCCCCCCTCCGCACAATCCTGCTGCCAAATGCCACGCGGGGGCTGCGAGAGCCAGGAATTAAGGCATCCTTACATTTCAGAAATGATTTAGAATTTTAATAACAGTTTGTTTGGTGAGGCAGGCGAGGGAGAGACGCGCAGGGTGCGGTGGTGGGGGTCGGGCGGGCGGGCGGGCGGGGGGCAGCCGTAAGAATGTTCTTGGTAAGTGAAGGCTTGTTTATTGAGGCGCTGGATGAACTCCAGAGGCCTAGAAACTAATCCAAACAAGTGTGTGTAAATATTTAGTCCAGAGCCCGGGCCCCACCGTCATAAACAAAGCATTTGTGGGATTCGCTCTTTCCCCGCAACGCTCTCCCCGCGTTCGGCACTTGGGTGAAGGGGGGGGGGGGGTGCACGCCTCGGTATGGTCACTTGCCGGACACCACCGTCCATGCTCTTCAATCGGTCACTGCAGTGAATCGTCGCGTGCATAGCCGACTATTCTGGGTGGGTGGCCATAGGGAGTTGGGTAAGGTTTGCCAGATTTCAAGGTGGCGAGTTTCGGTTCGTAGCCCGTGGCAAGGTTGATAAATTAAGAGTACTCCTTCGTAGGTCAGCGGTGCTCTGGGGAAGTAGCCGTCGGGGTCGTTGGTGTGCGAATTCCAATGCTTGGCTCACGGTTACCCAGCGAAGACGAACACCCAAAGAGACGCGCTGATTGTTGAGCCCATCTCGACCACGGTGGCATTCCGGTAACTATGATATTTGTGTCTTCAAGGATGAAAGATATAAAAAAGCGCTCGGCTTATTTATGCTTTAACCTGCATAACCTCCCGTGGTCGCTGCCCTCCCATTCCTTACTTTTTTTTTCCGGTTGTGGATTTGTGCCGCAGAGATTGCTTATCCTCCGGCCTAGTAAAATAAACATGCCTGCCCGCTGCAGGGAGGGGAGCGGGCTGATATCGCACAGATGCGCTCGCTCTCACACACACACTCTCGACTGACTCCACTCGCCGCTCTCTCGCGAGCAAACGCGGGCAGACCTCAGCTGCGGGCCGAGGTGGGCAGGGTGCCAGAGCAGCGACGGCCTCCCGAGAGGCCCGGGGATCAGCCAGACACGGCGAGTAGCGAGACACAGTTGATCAACGTCCAGGGAGCGTGGCCCAAGCCACGCGGAGTGTGTGGCGAATTCGTAAAAAAAAAAGTATCTCTCTGTTCTAGGTAGGGTGCGGGGCAGTGCTCGTCTTTGGTGGCAGCTGTGGGTGACGAGATGATTGTGATGTGGCTCTGTGTTGCGTGTGTTTGTTGTGGTGAGCGGTAGTGTAGCACTGCGCTACGAACTTGGCGACCCGAGTTCAGTTTCCCGCTAGCAGCTAACACCAGTGACGATTATGTAAATTATCTGAACTGGTCCTGGGCCTCCCCTACGTCGACTCAGCCTCAAATAAGTACATGGGTGTGTTTAAACATCGCCACTAGGGAGACAAAGGCGGCTGGGCTTGGTGCTTACCTCCCACAACCTCGTGTGCTGTGCCGGCCTTCATAGGTGCTCGCTTATAGCACTTGCCTCAAGAGTCTGTTAAGGCTATACGGTGGGGGGGGTATCTTTGCTTTTGTTTGATGAGTGTCATGTGGCAGGGCGTTGTGTAGCCGTGTTGTGCTTTCGTGTGTGCGAGCGTTGCATTGCGTGTGTTGTGGTGTGTCTCATGGTGGGTGGGGGACAGAAAGGGGGGGGGGGTGTGAGCGGTGCGACGGGTGGTGGTGGTGGTGGTGATGGTGGTGATGGTGGTGATGGTGGTGATGGTGATGGTGGTGATGGTGGTGGTGATGGTGGTGATGGTGGTGGTGATGGTGGTGATGGTGGTGATGGTGGTGATGGTGGTGATGGTGGTGGTAAGTTGTGGGAGGCACCAATGCTGCATTGCTCAGAGGTCTGCAAGTGATTACCCGCTAATGTTCCATGAAGTTCAGGACATACCATCAAAAAGGCCAATTCTGGAGTCACTGTTTTACTTTTAAACTTTTTCACGATGTATTTTTATTTGTCTGGCTTCGCGTCAAAATTAAAAACAAAGGTGCCCCGTCCTCGCGCGGGCACGACATTTTCAAGCCGCTCGATCCGTTCAATTCCTAACCGTGTGCGTTTCCCCTCCGCTGTGCGAATACAGATATTTCTTCGGCGTGCTCACAATCATGACCCTGCTCGGCGTTTTCAACGGACTCGTGCTGCTGCCCGTGTTGCTCTCCGTGCTGGGCCCTCCCTCCCAGGCAAGATGCTCCCCGCGCACGAGCGGCTTCGCCCGCCTTGTAGCTCATCAGGCACTCGGCGCCCAACTCTCATTCCTCGGCACTGCGTGCCGAAGCATTTTTTTGCTTGCTTCGAGTGCAAACAAGTGGCCTTTGTTGTGATCATTTTGAAGGAAATTCTGGTTCCTTAAACGGTAAATACCAGTGGGGGAGGAAATTTAATTTGTCTAATTAGCGGAAGGCAGGCTGTTCCACACTCTCAATCCGAGCGACCACTTTGCCATCGGAGTAAGGCTCCCGTCCCCACGAAAAACAAGCTTCCCCCAGCGTGCACTGTGCTCGATCAGCGAGGCGAGGGAAACGTGCATCTCCGCTCAGGGAAAACGTTATCTTTATCACTTTTGATATCTTCGCGGACTAACAGTGCGAATGGTGCGTGTGCGTACCCACAGGCCGCGCGCAAGCGGACGGGCGGAGTACGAGTGGACGCGCCGCCGCCCCCGTCTGCGCGGCCCGCGTGCCGCTGCGCGGCCTACGCGGCGAGCCTGCGCTACCTCGATGGCCCCGAGGCCCCGCGCGCCGGGACGGAGGAGACGGGCGAGGAGCTGCGGCCGTACTGCGAGCGCGCCGGCCACGCAGGAGCGCCGGCGGCCGCCCTGCCGCTCCCGCACGTCATGGTGGAAGCCTCGGACAGCGGCTTTGCGCCCCGCGTGAGCGTACGTACCCGCTCGTCGCTCATGCACACGCACGTGGCGCCGGCCTAGGTGCACGTGCGCACGGAAACCCGCGAGGCAGTTCTCGTGCGCCGAGTGGCTTCGTTATCGCGAAGCACGGCTGTGGACGACGCAGCGCGTGAATACGGCTGTGAGAACCGATGTTCCCGTAAAGCCAACAGCAACCCGGCTCGTGCGTGTTGCGCACACGGCACGTTAATGCCGCACGTGCGGTCGTTACCTAAAGAGCTGCGCAAAGCACAGGGCCTATTGCTTCAACTCGAGTCGTGATGTCCTTTTGTGTTGCTCAATCAGTCCCTTGACCTCATTACGAATGGTAAACATGGACTTGCGATACGACGTTCGAGGGTCTCACGGTCGCCCGCCCGCCGTCTTTGTCTCCACAGCTGATGCAAGTCAAAATCCCAGACGCTGACGGCGCCCAGGACATCCTGCAGGAGCCACACCGGCACAACGGCGGCGCCTCCGCTCACCAGCTGCACTCGGCCCGCAGCCGCGAAGCACAGGAGAACCTCCGCAACCAGAGCCACCAACAGCAGCAGTGGCAGCAGCAGCAGCAGTGGCAGCAGCAGCAGCAGCACATCCACCCGCACCAGCACCACTACCGTCGGCAGCGCCGCCCGCGGTCGGGCGACCCCGCGGCCCGCGAGCCGCGCAGGACTCAAACGCCGGCGCCGCCCGGCTGCTGCGGGGTCATCCCCACGGTGACGGCTACCACCTCGGTGACGGTCGCCATCACGGGGGGCATGCCGGGCGCGCCGCTGGGGGCCGCCGTGGCCGCGGCAGCGGCGGCGGCCGCGGCCGGGGAAGGCCGAAGGGCGCCGGGCTGCAAAGTGAGGACGAACCCGTTTGAGGGCTACGCGCACGCGGCGTACGACGACAGCGACGAGGGCTGCTTCCCAGACTCGCCGGAGGCAGCGCGGCCCGGCTCGCCGGGGTCGCCCGGACTTCCGGGAACGCCGGACGGGCACGAGGACCGCGACTCGTTACGCGTGGAGGACCTGGAGTGCATCGCGCCGCGCGTGCACGGCCCCGCCGGCGCCTTTTGAACGACGCGTGTCGGGAGACCCGCAGACGCGAGCTCCGCCGGAAGCGCCAACCGCCGCCGCCCGCGATATTATTTGCGTCCACTCCGCTGGTCGCGCGCGGACTATGGGGCGAGAGACGGACGAAGCGTCGGTCGGAGCGCCGTTTTGGCGGCGCGCTCGATAGACGTAGACTGTAACGCACCCACGCACACGCCACGCAAACACACACACTCCTCGTCGCGAAGATTATTTAATGATGTAAACACGAGCGTGTAAAATAATCTGTACAGCACACACTTGGGCAAACGTTGAGTCGTTGTTTTATTGTCTCTATCGATTTGCTCTAAGACTATAAATATTGTACGACCGCATGTACGGATGATAAGTGTAACTATTTTCTTACACAGATGCTTCTTAGCGCGTTGGAGAAGTCCTGCTGCTGTTTTCTGTACCATAGTTTATTAATAATGTATTTAAACCTTGCTGGCAAAATTTTATTCTATGCAAAAAAAGAAAAAGTTTCAAAAAATTCAACAAAAAAAGGTTCATTAGTTTAATAATAAATAAAGGGAAATAAAAGTAATGTATCGTGTTTATAATGGAAACGAATGCAGTGTGTGTGTGTGTGCCCGCGTCCCGTTCTGTGCGAGAGAGGGCTTCTCCGTTTGGTGCTAACCCAGCAGTAGCAGTAAATTGTCCATCACTGAACGCCTGTGGCCAGGTAGCGCTGCCTCCGTCGTAATTTAATAAAAGTCTATTTTTTGTACGAAGAGGGAAGGCATTGTTCTGATATCGGCCACCCCCACACCCCTTCCCCCCTCCCCCCCTGTGCACGCGACGCAACGGGGAGCTTGCTATCGGACACAGCGAAAACGTATATAGAAAAAAAAAGTTGTATTTTTTGAATATTTATTATATTGTTCAAAGTTAATTAAAGATAATAAGTAAATAAAAATTTAAATTACTTTGCAGAACAAAATAATGGCATTGCCATATCGCTTGCGGCGGCACCTGGGACCAAAGCTTCAAACGACCAAAATAAATAAAAAGTTATATATATACGACTTTGCCAAGAGCATGGCGAGTTCAAAATACGACAACGCAGAGCAAACCTCCGCGAATCGGTTTTTCGTTTGAAAGTTTGGCCCCCACGTCGCCTTCTTTTGTACCACATATCAGGGACACTTGTGTTTTCTTCTCCTTAACCGTTTCTCAGCCTCCAGATTAATATGCTCCTCTTGAGTTGAGTGCATAGTGTTTGAGCAAACTAATGGTAAATATCAAATGTATAGTTTTTATGTGACTGGTTACTTTGCGGATTTTTGATATATATTACTGAGAAAATACAAAAGTTTTACGCTAGACGGTCGATATTATTATTATTATTTGCCATGTGCGATGTGCTGGGAGTTTGTGTTGATAAGGCACGTAAGTTATTTATATGAGAAATCTATTTTTGTAGTGCATGTACAGATTAGCTGACAGCTGATGACAAAAGTTTATTTTAAAAGAGTTTCTTTTTTTTTTACATTTTAAATACAAATGTCACTGTTACGTTCGACATCAGACATGCAGGGCGATTCGCTGATGGATACCCCATGATGAATTGTAGGGAGAACAGCAGCGCATTTCCAAGGCCTCTGCGCGTGTCCAACCAATCTCAATGGTTGAACATTCTAACGCCGAACATTCTAACGCATGCCCCTTCTCTCCCTCGCCGCAACAAGACGTGGCCGCCACCGTTGTCGCTACGATATTCCGTCACCTGTCGAGAGAGGAGAGTGAGAAGATAGCCGCTAGAAATGCGCGGGGTGTCTGTGAGCGGATCGCCTTGTACATGTGTAACTTTGTACTGCCATGTCCTGCGGGGGGGGTGGGGGGTGGGGGGGAGAATAATTAAATCTTGACTGTTGAAGCTTTTTTATTTTATTATAATGGGATATTAAAGGTTTTGACATTTCCGAATCCCACAGTGGAGACCCAGTGATACCTCTACAGCTCTGAAAACATGATGCAACGGTTTGTTTTATTTGTTGATAAGAGATGTATAATGAATATTAATATTCAAATGTCGATAGTAAATGGTCTAACTAATAAACATGAAGAAATATTAAACATGACTTCTCTGTTCCCATGGTCCTTGATTTCCCCAGCCACGGTTGTTCACGCTGGATAAGCAGTCTGGCCCGTGACCAACTCACCCGAGAATTCGCCCTGAGCTCGTCAGCTCTGGGAAGCTAAGCGGGGTTGAGCCCGTGACGTGCTTGGATGGGCGACCGCCATGCACGCTGGGTTGTCATAGGTATCTGCGAGCCTGTGCAGAGGAGGGCAGTACAGCAACATCTATTGTACCATACTTTAATACTCCCCCGTCTATGCTCCTGGCTCTCACACCGACCCTCACTGACCAGGGTGGTGAAGTATGGTCAAATAAACCCTCGGCGTGTGGAGACCCTCATCCAGCAAAACGGCTGTACTATACGTGTCCAGACGATGTTTGAACAATCGCACCTCCGAGTGGTGGTCGCGTGGACTTGAACTCCGGGTCCTCCGGTTTTCTCCCCCTCCACATTTAGAAACAACGTCGCGTTTCGAGTATTCGGCTGCTAGAATTGTTGACGTGACGATGAGCCACTTCGTTGAGCTGCTATCATTCGTGATGGCCAGATCGCTTCTGAAAAAGAGCTACACAGCTCGGTGGGCCTTACCTTGTGAAGTAAAAAATAAAAAATATTTTAGTTTAAGTTGAGACAATCACTGACCCGGGCAGTGCGTGAATTGTCTCGCTGATACCGCATGTGAACATGCAGGAGGGCAACCCTGTAGCACGGTGGGTGAGAGGGCACTATCGATAAGAGAGTTCTGTATTGTCAATACCAAATATAATATTATGTACATCTCATTAGTCCACTGCTGGGAGAATGCTTCTCTGCGCAGTGTCAGTCGTTGGGGTTGTCTGACCATACTTCACCAAGCTGGTCAATGCATGTTGTTGAAGTGGGGAAGCCCAGGAACGGTTCACATTTAACTTACCACTGATGCTAGCCGTGGCCGGGATTCTAGATCACGTAACCGGATTTACACACCTCGGTGCACTAACCACTGCGCCACCGCTCCTTCATAATGCAAAGAGCATTATGGGTGATATCAATTCGAGGGTGAGGGGGCATTGTGGGTAGGAGCTGGTAGTTTGCTCGTTGGGAGCCCTGGAGGAGCGAGAAAGTGTGTGTAGATATAATATACGTTACATACACATATATTACAGATTCAAGTGTACATTACAGAACCTGCCAGCCTTCCCAACGGACACGCGTGAGCGCTTTGTGCAGCGTCAAGTCAAATGATGTCTTCCTCTGGGGAGACTTGCCGCCCGCCGTCATAGGAACGTGGAATTTCCACCACTTCCCCAGGGCCGCCAACGGAAGTTGATGATCACCACCCCACGCAAGCTCAGGTGAGTGAGACGCGGATTTTGTGCCTCCCTTAGAGACGGCTTCCCGGATCCGGGAATCATCAGCGATCACCATGATCAATTCACTCCTGGGTGAATTCACTTCCCCAGCTGTTACCTTTGCTTCGTTTATGTTGTATGGAATGGAATGGGTTCACGTGATCTCTGCAGCCACTAGAGGCCGCTATATTCACCATAATGTTATACCAACGTGAAACCAATGACGATCTTCACCTGGAATTGATTGATTAGCGAAGAGGAATGCATGCTTGGGGAGGTGGGGGGGGAGTAACAAAACTTGAGATTGCCTCGTGCTGGAGTGAGATTGCCATCATCATCAGAGGGCAGGGCAGCAAAATACCATTGTTGGACTGCACCATGATCTGTATATGTTCCCCGCCTGTATTAACCCGCACTGACCACCGTATTTGAAGCATGCTCGAACAACTTCTTCATGTAGTCAGGTAGGCTGACAAAGCGCTGCAACGTATTACTTCATTCATATTAGACCGAGGGACTTGGTTTGGCTCTCACAGCCAACAAGAGCGCCCGTTTATATCGTTTAATAGGGAATGGGCCTGGTATAGTTAACTGTTACAGAGAGATGCACGTTTGTGTGGGTCTGCCAAACTTTGCCGTGAGCTGACATTCCTACCTTTTAAATAACCCACGTAGAGAGCCCAAACACACAGCGTTTGTGATTTACATTCCTCCTCGAGCGAACGGCGTCGGTTAGGATTTGGGTAAAACTATTGATGGTGAGAGGAGCCGAAGAGCGGACGGACGAGGATTGTGTTGTGGGGATCTTAAGCTGAGACGCGCCACCGCCGCCATGCGATATCCGCGGTGGCTAAAACGACATGTCTCGGACCGTGTTCGTGAACACAAGGTAGAGCTGAAACACGGAAGGACCAATACTTCTGCCGTGGCTGATCATTACCTTAATGCGGCTGGCTCACACGAAATTGATTCCTCTAAGACGATGGTACTTTGCAAGCCGACTGGCTATCAACAAAGATTCGTTCACGAAGCCATCCATATATGCAGACACAGACACAATTTCAACCGAGACGACGGTTTTAAACTCAGCAATCATTGGAAAGATGTCATCAGCCACTTTGGGTCATGACTTGATTTGTGTTTTTTCTTGTCAACCTCCACCGTCGATCTACGTGACTTTACCGAAAGCACCAAGAATATGGCGAGGAGATGTTAACTCCCTTGCCTGATATACAGAAAGTCGTGAGCCCCGCCCCCCTCCCTCCCGATACGTTCCATTCATTGGCTACCACATTCTGATGAGCTCCCCCCCCCCCTCTCCTCCGCCCTCAACTTACTTTTAAGGGATTACATCTTGAATCATTGCCTCACTTGATGCAGCAAATCTGGCTGTGACGGTCCCACCTGATGACGGAGACTTGTGTTGCCTCCGAAACGTCGTGATTTTTATTTTTTATTTTACTTTTATTAATTTTAATGTTTTACCTACGTGACTTTACCGAAAAAAACCTAAGAATATGAATAGGAAGTCGTGGGTTCGATCCCGACCCTGACACCTGCTGTATATTTGTAATTTTCATGTTCTCCGCGTGATCACGTCTATTTTTTTATTTGGTTCCTCCGGATTTTCCCCAAATTTAGAAACATGCAAGGTGAGGCAGTTCCAGGCGCAGGGGGGGGAGGTGGCAGATGATAATGAGTGACATGAATATCACACCACACACAGTGTGTGCACCCTGGATATTTATTGAAAGCGGATTGGGATCAGATTGAAATTTAGAATCAACGCACGTTTAGAGTATTTGGCTGCTATACATTTCCACGTGATTTGCCATTTCATTGAGCTATCATTTGTGGCCAGGTCGATTCTGAAAAAGAGCGAAATAGCTCAGTGGGCCTTACCTGGTTAAATAAAATAAAAAAATATATCCACTCGTTCTCCAAAAGAGAGAACGACTCGGGCGTGAGAAGGAATCACAAAAGAGCCGGAAAAGCCGCAGGAAAGTGGTGAACCTGCGTACAATTCCACTCCAAGCTCTGCGGTCCTCTCCCTATAAAAATGAAGGTGTTATTAGCCATTCGATGAGTGTTAACGTGTTGGAAGAAACCGGAGCACCCGGAGAAAACCTCCGCATGCGAGGGGGAAATACTGTATCCCGCACAGATGGAACAGATGGACTCCACATTTGTTGTGCTTCCCTTCTGCTGGTAAAGCCGGGGAATGGCTCCTTCTTCGGCGCCACCACAGCAAGGGAGTTTACACCAACCCTCGCTGCCTCCACAGTGCTGATGTTACAGGCGTGCGCCACCACCGCCCAAGCTAAACATCACCGTTTTAAAGCTTTCGTGACTGCAGGGATTCATCTTCTTGGTTCTTTTGGTAAAGTCACGTAGAAGCCGTCCTCAGGTGAAGAACAAGTCTGTTCTTCACCTGAGGACGGCTGCTTGCGTTGTGGCCTAAACGTCGTGAGAATTATTTTATTATGTTTTATGATTTTTCATTATTTTATTAGACATCACCGTTGAAGCCCCTTGCCATGGGCACGTGACATATCCTCCACTGGCTTATTTTGGGCAGGGGGGGGGGGACAACGTTTGCCTGGAACAAAAGAAAAACTGCACGGCAGCGCGGGCACAGCACGTCTGGTGCGCCGTCACGCGTGTGACGGGGCCGCCGCGTGGGGGATGATAAACGCGGACACGGTCCGCCCGTCGCCACACCCGCGTCATCGCGTTGTCCGAAGAATGACGTGAAAGTTACGCGGCCTTTGTGAGTTGTTACACGGAGCCAACACGTAAGCGGCGTGGAGGAGGAGAAGGCCCACACTCTGCTGACGAGCAGGATTGTTGGTTTGCTTCGACAAAGGCTTTGTGGGAAACACCGCTGCAGAAGGCTTGGGATTGTAACGCTATTTGACTCCCACCAGATCCACAGGAAGAGACCCAGCGTGACCCACACCCGCGGTTCGGTCCCATCAACGTTCATGTCTGTGCGACTCTGTGTCTTTACTCCCCTTGTTTCCCAGCGTTGGGTTTCCAATTGGGCGCAAATCACATTATCACCCTCGCTTGTGATTTTTTTTTAAAGGAGAAATTCGGCTTCTGGATAAGGTAAACGGACCTCCGCTCAAGCCAAAGCAGTAGGCTGCCGATAATTGAATTTGCGGCTAAGTTAATTTAGTGACCAGGCAGGCACAAGGACTTTGCGGAACGGGAAATATGCCCTCCACTGAAAGGAAGCCATGAATCGGCATCATAATGCGATTTCCCTTTTGCAGAAACGTTCATTACGGGCCTTGAGCGCACGCACCACCTTTTACACCAATTAAAATGACTATTCTCTTTTTTTCATTCAACAAACGAACGTTGCGTTCTTGGCAAAAGCCGCGTTACGGACGATAATCTCATCAAGCCACTTCGACAGGTTTCACGAGCGGTGGATGCCGTGCCCAGAGCCCCGGGGTGACCTGCGCAAAATATTTGTAGTTTTTTTTCTGGCAAAAAATAACGCCGATGTCATCAACAACCACCACCACCACCAAATACCACCGGAAAAATCGCCAAGGGTTTGTGTTTCGGCCGTTTCATAAAAAAAATGTGGATGCGTCTCAAAAATATTTTGCCATTTCTCCCTCGCTCAATATCACTGAAAAATATT